AACAATATATGGAGACAACAACCTAGTTTTGACAATAGACATGCAGAGATGGGAGAGAGCAGCCTGGGTGGCAGTGAGTCCCTACCCTAATAGAGATGTAGTTGAGGGGTCCTGCCTTTGGTGGGATATTAAAGAAGATGATCTCAAAGATCTACTCTACCCTCCTTTGCCAACTAGAACAGACACATTTAACTATTTAGGGCCAAACACTAAAGCGTGGGACCCCACATTTGAGAGGACAATGCTTGCAGGCAAGAAAATGAAAAACTGTTCAGCTGGCAGCTAGACCCAATGTTTCGAACTGAACATAAACAGTGATCACAAAATATAAACAATATGAGCTAAAACCACTCTATAGTAGGACCAAGACAGGGACAAGGCCACTCTGGTACCACAAATATGAAAAACATCCTCCTCTTCTGACTAACATGAGTGCCACCCTTGCTTTAATCCTCTACCTCTTGGATACCAGTTTTTCAGATACCTAGTCACTGAATTGCCGCTGCTTCTTGACTGTGTCCAATCCAAAACTATCCCCCGCTTCTTCCTTAAACCATTCTTAGAGTTTCCCAGCACAAACCCAAATTCTAAATAAGCTCTTCCCAGTTACCTTTTACAAGCACCTCCTGGTGGCCAGGCGCAGTGGCTCACACCTAGAATCCTAGCACTCTGGGAGGCTGAGGCAGGAGGACCGCTTGAGCTCAGGAATTGAGACCAGCCTGAGCAAGAGCAAGACCTCATCCAACTAAAAATAGAAAAATTAGCTGAGCATCCTGGTGTGGCATGTAGCCCCAGCTATTTGAGAGGCTGAAGCAGAAGGATCACTTGAGCCGAGGAGTATGAGGTTGCAATGAGCTGTGATGATGCCACTGCATTCTACCAGAGCTATAGAGCAAAAGACTCCTCATGGTTTCTCTGCTGTGTGTTCTTCCTTGCTGAACAAACTAAATAAGCCTAATTCTTTTTACCTTTTACACAACCCCACCTCCCATAAACCTAATTCTTTTTGACTACAGTATATTCCTGGTGGAATTTGATCTATGGTTTTTCAGTCTTAGCTGTCTTTGGCCCAGTTCATCAATACCCGACAGGAGGAAGCAGAAATTTAAGGGTTACCTGGAAAGTTCAGTGGTCCGGAAGCAAACTGATTTGAACTGGTGTGTGTGTGTGTGTGTGTGGTGTGTTGTGTGTGTGTGTTTGTGTGTGTGTTGAGCAGGGAGAAGTCTGGTGGAATAGAAGGCTGAGGTAGGAATTAGGAAGCTTGAGTAATTCTCTTTCTCTGCCATCAACTCTTTCTGTGACTTTGGGAAAACCATTTCACTTTCAGCCTTTCCTTTTCTGTAAAAGATGAATTTGGAATATATTTTAAAGAAATCCAGGGAATAACATCCCAAATATGCACACTGGTATGATAAATCACTTCAGATTGAGGGTATTTGAGGAACAGCAAAAGCACAGAGGGGTTTTCCTGAATTTCCCTCATCAGACTAAAGTCAGATAATCCAGAAGGAATTCAGTTGTTATGAATCCCCTCCCAGAGAATTTTATCAATCAAGGAAGATTAATACACCACAGGACTGGCGCCTGTAATCCTAGCACTCTGGAGGCCAAGGCTGGCGGATTGCTTGAGGTCAGGAGTTCGAAACCAGCCTGAGCGAGACCCCGTCTCTACTAAAAAAAATAGAAGAAAATTAATTGACCAACTAAAATATACATACAAAAAATTAGCCGGCATGGTGGCGCATGCCTGTAGTCCCAGCTACTTGGGAGGCTGAGGCAGAAGGATCGCTTGAGCTCAGGAGTTTGAGGTTGCTGTAAGCTAGGCTGACACCACGCACTCACTCTACCCTGGGCAACAAAGTGAGACTCTGTCTCAAAAAAAAAAAAAAGAAAAAAAAATACACCACAGGAGAAGAATTAAAGGCCGACACCTTTAATTTGCAGACATTATCATTTTTGCCATATCTGTATTACACCTATACTATTATGTAAGCAAATTAACTTTTCCATTTTTTTCTTAAATGAATCTCAATTTTTACATAATTTCGAAAGGAAATTTACATCTCTGCTTAAATGGGAAACCAGTTTGCTTGGTAGAAATGGAAGAATTATTGCCACAACACACTCAAAACAAAACAACAGGCTGGGCGTGGTGGCTCATGCCTGTGATCTAGTACTCTGGGAGGCTGAGGTGGGAGATTGCTTGAGCTCAGGACTTCGAGACCAGCCTGAGCAAGAGTGAGACCCTGTCTCTACTATAAATAGAAAGAAATTAGCCAAACAACTAAAAATAGAAAAAAAATTAGCCGGGCATGGTGGTACATGCCTGTAGTCCCAGCTACTCAGGAGGCTGAGACAGGAGGATTGCTTGAGCCTAAGGTTTGAGGTTGCTGTGAGCTAGGCTGACGCCACAACACTCTAGCCCAGGCAACAGAGTGATACTCTCAAAACAAAACACACAAAAAACACAGCAGCAGACGAGGTGGCTCATGTCTATAATCCTAGCTCTTTGGGAGGCTGAGGCTAGAGGATGGCTTGAGGCCAGGTTCAAGACCACCCTGGGCAATATCAAGCCTCTACCAAAAATAAATTAAACAAAATAAGACAATGTTTATAACCATAGATGTGTTGCGTATGGAGAGATTTGGAAAATGAATCTTTGCTCTGTTAAAAAGGGAGCTAAATGTTAGAAACATGTTAAATAACTAGCCTCAAACAACTAGCTTGTTGGTGTGAACTAAAATGCTCAACCCCTACCGGCTGACTGAATGGACCCCTTGTGGCCAGAGAATGTTCAAGGGCAAAGTTGCCAGCCAGGAGGAGGGAGGTCAGACAGGCCTAATCATGCCCCCCCCTTCTTGGAGACTTCCTTGGTAAACATTAACAGGCCTAAGGGTATGCAAGAAACCTGCAGGCCTCAGTTTGCAACAAAATGGTGGCTTACCTCTGGTAAACAGTTTATGTTAAAACATTCCAGTCTTTAGACAAAGCTTCATGTCTTTAGCCAATTACAATCTAAAGAATCTTTAAACCCACTATAACCTGTAAGCCCCTGCTTCGAGATGGCCTCCTTTTTAGGCCAAACCAATGTATGCTCCACACATTGATTGATGGCCTTACCCATAACCCTTGTCTCTAAAATGTATAAAAAGGCCGGCGCTGTGGCTCACGCCTGTAATCCTAGCTCTTGGGAGGCCGAGGCGGCGGATTGCTCAAGGTCAGGAGTTCAAACCAGCCTGAGCAAGAGCGAGACCCCTCTCTTACTATAAATAGAAAGAAATTAATTGGCAACTGTTATATATAAAAAAATTAGCCGGGCATGGTGGCACATGCCTGTAGTCCAGCTACTCGGGAGGCTGAGGCAGGAGGATTGCTTGAGCCAGGAGTTTGAGGTTGCTGTGAGCTAGCTGATGCCACGGCACTCACTCTAGCCTGGGCAACAAAGCGAGACTCTGTTCAAAATAAATAAAATAAATAAAATGTATAAAAACCAAACTGTAACCCAGCCACAGCGAGTCCACTTGGCCAGGCCTCTTGCAGTGGCTCAGGGTCATGGTCCTCAAATTTGGCTCAGAATAAATCTCTTTAAAATTATTTTACAGAGTTTGGCTTTTTTCCGTTAACATTGGTTTGAAACCAGATGCTTTCACTCTGCTTTTCAATGTTACTTAATGTCCTATTCATGCACCCCTTAGATTCTTTCATTTATCCCAAATGGTGTACATGTAACATTTTAGGAACAATGCCCATCTTCCCTTGGTTAACTTGGACTCATCCTTAAATTCTCAGATTAAATATAAATTCTTCAAAAAAAGCCTTTCAAGACTACTCCCTAAGTTACTGTCCCCTTACAATATGCCAATGAAAGAAGCCACTTTGTAAAATAATTGAAGAGGTTTACCTGAGCAAATTTGAGGACCATGACCCAGAGCCACACCCCAGAAGCCTGAGCAAGTGGATCACTGTGGGTGGGTTTCAGTTTGGTTTTATACATTCAGGGAGAGAAATGTATAAAGTTTAAAGTCATAAATCAACACATGGAAGGCGTACATTGGTTTGGCCTGAAAAGGCAGGACATCTCAAGCAGGGCTTACAAGTCATAGGTGGATTTGGGGATTCTCTAGTTAACAATTGCTCGAAAAGTTAGCTTTGTCTAAAAGACCGGGATCAGCGGAAAAGAACGAAACGCTTGAGGGTCTCATGTTTCAGTGTGATGCTATACAGGAAACAGGTGGGAAGCAAACCACATCAATTGGGTAACAAAACTTGTTTAGTGAATTTTATCATTTGAGGCATGACTCACCAGGCCCCTTAGAAAGGATACTGTGTCTCTCTGCACACTTCTGTAACCGTAGATCTTTACACATATACTGGGCTTAGGGAATACAAATGCAGGAGGTAAGAATGATATCCTACATCCAGCACCCAGGCGAGCCCCCCCCCAACTCAATGACCAGGCCCTCGGGCGCCGGCCGAGGGCGGTGCGCCCGCAATGCGAACTGGGGGCGGGGGTGGGCCGTGTCCGGCCGAGAACGGTCGCATTTCTGGCGACGCCTCGGCTGGCGTTACCACCGCTTTGAAACCTCTGGACCAAGCCACTTCATCACTGGGCGTCACATGAGCTGTGTCGGGGCTCCCGCCAGCTGGTGAGTCGGGGCTGTGTTTCTCGCTGACGCGGCCTTGGGAAGGCGATTAGGGAGGAAGCTCGAGGTCCGGACCAATGGACCTCGGCGCACAGAGCCCGGCGGTGTGGTGGGGTGCAGAGCTTGCGGAGGCCCGGCCCCAAATCCGCGATTTCCCCAGAGGATCGGTGCTGCTTTCCGGGTTCGTTGAGAAACGAGGTGGCTGCCGCATGTTCATTCCATGCCGCCCGCGAGCTCCGACCGCGGGACTGGGTTGGACCAGTCCGCTGGCGTGGTCACCAAAGCACTAAGGTCTCATTTATCTGGGTGCTCGAATCCGAAGCATCGGGGTATTCGAAATACGAGGGTGGCAGAGGGGAAGAGCCTGTGGAGCTCTAGTGCAAGGAAAGAAGCCTTGGATTTTTATTCAAAATTGAGCCATAGCTTGAACCTTTTTGGGACCTCTACAAGTCATTTATCTCTGATGATAATCACCCAGCACTCTCCTTTGGAAATTTGTGAGGGATTTAATGAAAATTGTGAATCACTTTGTAATTTGTAACCTTGTTTTAAAAGGAAGATTTTGGGTCTGTAAAAGAGAATGTGCTGATTTCTTTGTACCCAACTTCACAGGATGTGATTCTTGAAATCTTCCTTGTTTCTAAATTCCCCAGCTGATGTAATGGAAGTGTGTTAGAAAAAACAAACTAAATTTCTGCGTGGTTAGCTTTACGCTTTGAGACCCGAGGGTGGGGATTCCCCCAGGCATCGGAGCAATCACTTCTGCAATGGATATCCAGGGTCCTTCAATTCAGTTCAGAGCTATCTACTTGGAGATGCATTAGGCTCCAGGTGGAGGCTCAGTCCATAGATGTCGCCCATTTCTGATGCCAATCGCAAGATCTCTCCTCCTATTCCCAGAAGGCAGGAATGCATGCCCAGAGAGGCCAAGGAAAATCTAGACAGACAGGCCTTGCTGGGTTTCATGACTCAGTGTATTAGCATTAGATCATATCCATTGTGTTCAATCATGCTTCTCCATAGCTGTCCATACTTTAAACCTAATCATAAAAATGGACAATTTCCCCTGTACCTTTGAGTTTTCATTCTGCAAGCTACCATGTATACATGTTAAATACATTTGTATGCCTTTTCTCCTATTAATCTGCCTCGTGTCATGAGCCTTTAGGGGGCCAAGAGCCTTGGTTCCTACACTGGCATGTGTATATTATATTAGGAACTCTGGAAGGAGATCTGAGAGAAGGGGAGAGGGGGGTTTAAGATGGAAGGACACTACATTTTCACTGTATGCTCTTTTATGCAGCATTTTTATACCAAGTACATGTATTATGTTTTCAGACAATATATGGAGACAACAACCTAGTTTTGACAATGGACATGCAAAGATGGGAAGAGCAGCCTGGGTGGCAGTGAGTCCCCTACCCTAGTAGAGATGTAGTTGAGGGGGTCCTGCCTTAGGTGGGATATTAAAGAAGATGATCTCAAAGATCTACTCTACCCTCCTTTGCCAACTAGAACAGACACATTTAACTATTTAGGGCCAGAAACACTAAGAGCGTGGGACCCCACATTTGAGAGGACAAATGCTTGCAGGCAAGAAAATGAAAAACTGTTCAGCTGGCAGCTAGACCCAATGTTTCGAACTGAACATAAACAGTGATCACAAAATATAAACAAATATGAGCTAAAACCACTCTATAGTAGGACCAAGACAGGGACAAGGCCACTCTGGTACCACAAATATGAAAAACATCCTCCTCTTCTGACTAACATGAGTGCCACCCTTGCTTTAATCCTCCTACCTCTTGGATACCAGTTTTTCAGATACCTAGTCACTGAATTGCCGCTGCTTCTTGACTGTGTCCAATCCAAAACTATCTCCCCCCTTCTTCCTTAAACCATCCTTAGAGTTGCCCAGCACAAACCCAAATTCTAAAATAAGCTCTTCCCAGTTACCTTTTACAAGACACCTCCTGGTGGCCAGGCGCAGTGGCTCACACCTAGAATCCTAGCACTCTGGGAGGCTGAGGCAGGAGGACCGCTTGAGCTCAGGAATTGGAGACCAGCCTGAGCAAGAGCAAGACCTCATCCCAACTAAAAATAGAAAAATTAGCTGAGTATCCTGGTGTGGGCATGTAGCCCCAGCTATTTGAGAGGCTGAAGTAGAAGGATCACTTGAGCCGAGGAGTATGAGGTTGCAATGAGCTGTAATGATGCCACTGCATTCTACCCAGAGCTATAGAGCAAAAGACTCCTCATGGTTTCTCTGCTGTGTGTTCTTCCTTGCTGAACAAACTAAATAAGCCTAATTCTTTTTACCTTTTACACAACCCCACCCTCCCATAAACCTAATTCTTTTTGACTACAGGTATATTCCTGGTGGAATTTGATCTATGGGTTTTATCAGTCTTAGCTGTCTTTGGCCCAGTTCATCAATACCCAGACAGGAAGAAGCAAGAATTTTAAGGGTTACCTGGAAAGTTCAGTGGTCCGGAAGCAAACTGATTTGAACTGGTGTGTGTGTGTGTGTGTGTGTTGAGCAGAGGGAGAAGGGGTCTGGTGGAAGAGAAGGGCTGAGGTAGGAATTAGGAAGCTTGAGTAATTCTCTTTCTTCTGCCATCAACTCTTTCTGTGACTTTGGGAAAACCATTTCACTTTCAGCCTTTCCCCATTTCTGTAAAAGATGAATTTGGAATATATTTTAAAGAAATCCAGGAAATAACATCCCCAAATATGCCACACTGGTATGATAATCGCTTCAGATTGAGTGCATTTGAGGAACAGCAAAAGCACAGAGGGGGTTTTCCTGAATTTCCCTCATCAGACTAAAGTCAGATAATCCAGAAGGAATTCAGTTGTTACGAATCCCCTCCCAGAGAATTTTATCAATCAAGGAAGATTAATACACCACAGGAGCCAGCGCCTGTAATCCTAGCACTCTGGGAGGCCCAGGCTGGCGGATTGCTTGAGGTCAGGAGTTCGAAACCAGCCTGAGCAAGACCCCGTCTCTACTAAAAAAAATAGAAAGAAATTAATTGACCAACTAAAAATATACATACAAAAAATTAGCCGGGCATGGTGGCGCATGCCTGTAGTCCCAGCTACTTGGGAAGCTGAGGCAGAAGGATCGCTTGAGCTCAGGAGTTTGAGGTTGCTGTGAGCTAGGCTGACACCACGGCACTCACTCTACCCTGGGCAACAAAGTGAGACTCTGTCTCAAAAAAAAAAAAAAAGGAAAAAAAATACACCACAGGAGAAGAAATTAAAGGCCGACACCTTTAATTTGCAGACATTATCATTTTTGCCATATCTGTATTACACCTATACTATTATGTAAGCAAATTAACTTTTCCATTTATTTTTCTTTAAATGAACTCTCAATTTTTTTTTTTTAACTCTCAATTTTTACATAAATTTCGAAAGGAAAATTTACATCTCTGCTTAATTGGGAAACCAGTATTGCTTGGTAGAAATGGAAGAATTATTGCCAACACACACCTCAAAACAAAACAACAGGCGGGGCATGGTGGCTCATGCCTGTGATCTAGTACTCTGGGAGGCTGAGGTGGGAGGATTGCTTGAGCTCAGGACTTCGAGACCAGCCTGAGCAAGAGTGAGACCCTGTCTCTACTATAAATAGAAAGAAATTAGCCAAACAACTAAAAATAGAAAAAAAAATTAGCCGGGCATGGTGGTACATGCCTGTAGTCCCAGCTACTCAGGAGGCTGAGACAGGAGGATTGCTTGAGCCTAAGAGTTTGAGGTTGCTGTGAGCTAGGCTGACGCCACAACACTCTAGCCCAGGCAACAGAGTGATACTCTCAAATCAAAACACACAAAAAAACACAGCAGCCAGACGAGGTGGCTCATGTCTATAATCCTAGCTCTTTGGGAGGCTGAGGCTAGAGGATGGCTTGAGGCCAGGTTCAAGACCACCCTGGGCAATATCAAGACTCTACCAAAAATAAATTAAACAAAATAAGACAATGTTATTAAACCATAGATGTGGTTGCATATGGGAGAGATTTGGAAAATGAAGTCTTCGCTCTGTTAAAAAGGGAGCTAAATGTTAGAAACATGTTAAATATACTAGCCTCAAACAACTAGCTTGTTGGTTTGAAACCAGATGCTTTCACTCTGCTTTTCAATGTTACTTAATGTCCTATTCATGCACCCCTTAGATTCTTTCATTTATCCCAAATGGTGTACATGTAACATTTTAGGAAACAATGCCCATCTTCCCTTGGTTAACTTGGACTCATCCTTAAATTCTCAGATTAAATATAAATTCTTCAAAAAAGCCTTTCAAGACTACTCCCTAAGTTACTGTCCCCTTACAATATGCCAATGGAAAAGAAGCCAAACTTTGTAAAATAATTAAAGAGGTTTACCCTGAGCCAAATTTGAGGATCATGACCCAGAGCCACACCCCAGAAGCCTTGAGCAAGTGGACTCACTGTGGCTGGGTTTCAGTTTGGTTTTATACATTTCAGGGAGAGAGAAATGTATAAAAGTTTAAAGTCATAAATCAACACATGGAAGGCGTACATTGGTTTGGCCTGAAAAGGCAGGACATCTCCAAGCAGGGGCTTACAGGTCATAGGTGGATTTGGGGATTCTCTAGTTAATAATTGGCTGAAAGAGTTAGGCTTTGTCTAAAAGACCGGGAGTCAGCGGAAAAGAACAAGAACGCTTGAGGGTCTTCTATCTTTCATGTGATGCTATACAGGAAACAGGTTGGGAAGCAAACCACATTATATTGGGTTAACAAAACTTGTTTAGTGAGATTTTATCATTTGAGGCATGACTCACCAGGCCCCCTTAGAAAGGATACTGTGTCTCTCTGCACACTTCTGTAACCCGTAGATCTTTACACATAATGGGCTCCTAGGGAATACAAATGAGTGAGGTAAGGAATGATACCTTCACAGTTCCAGCAACCCCAGGCAGGCTTAGCCCCGCCTTCCCCCTCAACCAATGACAGGCGCCCTCTGGGCTGCGCCGGCCGAGGGCGGTGGGCGGGGCCACGCAATGACGCAGACCTTGGGTTGGTCGAGGGGTGGGCCGTGTTTCCGGCCGGAGAAACCGTCGCATTTCTGGGGCGACGCCTCGGCTGGCGGTTACCACCGCCTTTGAAACCTCTGGACCAGCCACTTCCATCACTGGCGTCACCATGGGAGCTGTGCTGGGCGTCTGCTCCCTCGCCAGCTGGGTGAGTTCGGGGGCCTGTGTTCTCGCTGGACCAGCGGCGTTGGGGAAAAGGGCGATAGGGAAGGAAGCTCGCGTCCGGACCCGAACGGACCTCGGCCACAGAGGCCCGGGCGTTGGGGTTGGCCCTGGGGTGCAGAGGGCTTGCGGAGGCCCGGCCCCAAATCCGCGATTTCCCCAGAGCGGGATCGGGCTGCTTGCTTTCCGGGTTCGTTGAGGAACGGAGGTGGCTCGGCCGCCATTGTTTACAATTCCGATGGCCCCGCCCCCGCGAGCCTTCCGGACTCGAGGTTTCTGCGGAGCTGGAGTAGGACCAAGGGGCCGTGGCTGTGGTTCATTCCAAAGCACCTCTTAAGGTGGCGTCATTTAATCTTGGGTGGCTCGAATATTTTTATCCGAAGCACGGGGTTTGACGAAACTACGGAGCGTGTGGCAGAGCTGGGATTTAATTAGCGGCCTGTCGGCAGCTCTAGTGCAAGGGAAAGAAGGCCTTGTAGATTTTTATTCAAAATTGGAAGCCATAGCCTGAACCTTTTGGGACCTCTACAAGTCATTTATCTCTGATGATAATCACCCCAGCACTCCTCCCTTTGAGAACTTTTGTGAGGATTAAATGAACAAATGTGTTGAATCACTTTGTAATTTGTAAACCTGTTTTTAAAAGGAAATTTTGGGGTCTGTAAAAGAGAATGTGCTGATTTCCTTTGTATACCCACTTCACAGGAGTGTGAATTCTTGAAATCATTTCCTTGTTTTCTAATTCCCCAGCTGATGTAATTGAGCAAGTGTGTAGAAAAAACAAACTAAATTTCTCGTGGTATGCTTTACGCTTTTGAGACCCGAGGTGTGGGGATTTTCCCCCAGGCATCGAGCAATCACTTCTGCAATGGATATCAGCTGGGTGTCCTTCAATTCAGTTCAGAGGCTATCTACTTGGAGATGGCATTAGGTCCTCCAGGTGGAGGGCTCAGTCCCAAAGACTGTCGCCCATTTCTGATGCCAATCGCAAGCCTCAGGTGGTTTTACCTGTGCTTCTGAGGACCAGCTATAAATCAGGGTTCCCACAACCTCCCTTTCTTGGGTTTGATTAAATTGCTCACAAAACAATGGGAAACATGTTTAGTCATTTATTATAAAGGATATTTTAAAAGATACAGATAAAAAATGCGCAGAATGAGCTAAGGGGGAAGGGGTGCAGAGCATCCATGCCCGCTCTAGGGCACCACCCTCCAGAAACCATCACATGTTCAGCTATCCGGAAGCTCTTCTGAACTCTGTCCTTTTGGGCTTTTATGGAGGTGTCATTATGTGGGTATCATTGATTAAATTATTGGCCATTGGTTTTCAGTCTAGCCTTCAGCCCCACTCTTTTCCTTGAAGGTTGGAGTGGGAGGGGCTGAAATTCCCTACCTTCTAATCCTGCCTTGGTCTTTCAGGTGACCCACCGCCTTCTTACTGAAGCTTCCTAGGGACTGCCAGCTGCCAGTCATCTCATTACCATATAAAAAGACACTTTATCACTTAGTAATTCCAAGGATTTTAGGAGTTGCGCGCCAGGACTTGGGTACCAAAATATATATTTCATAGTATCACACTAAGGATTCTGTCTTAGCTCATTCCACTATTATTTCTTAGGAACAGAATGTATTTTTCGTCCTTTAAAGTTGTTCATCCTAAATCAAAGGGCATTCAGTCGTTTATGGCTTGCTTTTTTTTTCTTTTTTGCCAAAGTCATAGATAAGAGTATTTTTAGGACTTTGTTGAGAGCAGTGGTTTTATAATTTTTCTGACCTTGACCTAAAGTGCGAAATACATTTTACATAATTGGTCTAATGCATCCATTTTTAGACAAAGTTTTACAAAATAATCCTTTACCATTTACTGTCCAATTTTCCTTTTATCACATTTAAAAAAATCCTGGCAGGGCGAGGTGGCTCACACCTGTAATCCTAGCACTCTGGAAGGCCGAGGTGGGAGAATCGCTCAAGGTCAGGAGCTTGAAACCAGCCTGAGTGAGAGCGAGACCCTGTCGCTACAAAAAATAGAAAGAAATTAATTGGACAACTAAAAATATGTATAAAAAATTAGCCGGGCATAGTGGCACATGCCTGTAGTCCCAGCTACTTGGGAGGCTGAGGCAGGAGGATTGCTTGAGCCCCACGAGGTTGAGGTTGCTGTGAGCTAGGCTGACACCATGGCACTCTAGCCCAGGCAACAGAGTGAGACTCTGTCTTAAAAAAAAAAAAATCCTGTCCAGCTGATTTTTACAATCTACTAGTGGTTCATACTCTCTATTTACAAAATAGAGTTTTAAAAAAAATATGATTGAGAAGGTCATTAGTTAAGGAGTGAATTGGTAATTTGAAACAAACTTGTCTTTCCTATGGTGATAACCTGAAACACATTTTGGCTTTGATTGAAAGCTAAGATTTGAATTGATGCCATCCAAACATTTCTGCCTATCCATTGCTTTTATATTTTATTGATCCCTTTTATTCAGTAGAAACAGCAAGGGGTTCAGTATATCAGAGAGTAGAATGAGTGAGAAGAAGAGTAATAGGAAACAAAATCGGAAAGATAGGTAGTTAACTCATGTAGCTAGCTATGATACGGTCTTGTAGCTCTTTAAGTGTTAGGGTGGAAAGCCTAGTAGGCGCTCCCGGCACAGGTGGAGGAAAGTTTCTCATGCAGTGGTTAGGGTATATAAAAGTAAAAAAAGTTTATTTTATCTTCTTAGAGGAGAGAGAGTGAGAGGGGAAGAGGGGGAGGAAAGAGAGCAGGTAGACTGTGGCATCCCAAAGAAAGAGAAGGGAGATCCCAGCCCTGAGGCCTTCTGGCTTGCTGATTTTAAGGGGGATGAAGAGAAAAAATTGTGATGGCTGTTAGTTGATAACAAAAGCTGGGGCTGGAAGTCAAGGTCACAGAGTTGGTTGGTTTCCCCGCCTTTCCTTGGATTATCATTATCACAGGAGATGTGACTCTTCCCTCTAGATATGATTGAGGCTGTAGCTCATTCTCCTGCTGTTTAATCAGGAACTCTATAAAAGCGGATTCTCAAAAAACAATTTTAAAGAGAAAGATTTACATCTCTTTTCCTACTGTTCAGCTCTTTTCAAAAGTTGTGCAAAACAGAACTCCCGCTGGGAGGCTGTTAGTGGGAGAACTCATAGGATTGATCTTTAACTTTTACTGGGAAATTGTGGGATTAGGAATTTTCCTGTTATGTTTGCAAGGCCTCCCCTTTCATGAAAGACTTTGACTTTTACTCTCAAGTGATATGGGAATCCATTACAGAGTTTGAAAAAAGGAGTGGATTGATCTAGGCTTATGGTTTTAACAACGTGGGTTCTGGTTACCATGTGGAGAATAGATGGTAGAAAGGTAAGGATAAAGCAGTGTAGAGAAGGAAAAAACGTTTCCTCTAACCTCTTGGGTTCTGCGCCTAGGGGCCTGTGAATTAGACTGACAAGATAGATTAGCCAGAGAAACAGGAGTTTATTTATGCATGCAAGGCACACATGTGCAGGAGTGCTCAGTGATGAATAACTTGATAGGTTGGTTAGAATTTGGGGTTTATCCACTGTGGGACTGCATTCACTGGCCGAGAAACCTTGCCCACAGCCGGCACTCATAGTCCCTACGATACCTTGTGCTGTGCATTGACGATGAATCCGTTTTGCTCTTGTGTGATGAGGAAAGCTTTAAAGCACTGAAAGCTTGTTTTACTTTACAGGCAGCTTTACTTGTAATGTAATATACATATATGTTTCATTACGTTATTTTTAAATGTTCACAATTTTATTTTGATAAATGAAAAATTAGAAAAGTCATATCATGGGTGTCAGCTAAAGTCACTGTGCGCATTCATATGTGGCTATCAACTACAGTCGATGCTGGCCCCGATGCTGGCCCCGAAGTGGTTAAATTCTTAACTTAGTAAGACAAAGACTTCTATGAAAAGGACAAATAGATTTCTTTAGGAAGTGGGTTTTTATGAGAACAAATAGGAGATTGGAAAATTTGTAATAATGCTCCTTTACATAGTTGTGAGAGATCTTTTTTATTTTTTTTTTTTGAGACAGAGTCTCACTCTGTTGCCCAGGCTACAGTGCCATGGTGTCAGCTTAGCTCACAGCGACCTCAAACTCCTGGGCTCAAGCAATCCTTCTGCCTCAGCCTCCCAAGTAGCTGGGACTACAGGCATGTGCCACCATGCCCGGCTAATTTTTTATATATATTTTTAGTTGGCCAATTAATTTCTTTGTATTTGTAGTAGAGATGGGGTCTCGCTCTTGCTCAGGCTGGTTTTGAACTCCTGACATTTGAGCGATCCTCCTGCCTCAGCCTCCCAGAGTGCTAGGATTACAAGTGTGAGCCACTGCGCCCGGCCAGTTGTGAGAGATCTTGCCAGCTTCTTCATGGCTTAAAACTGCCTTGGAGAGGGAATTTATGGCAGCTGCATTTCTCAAAAGTTGCTGCTTTTAGTCAGTCAAGGGAACCTCTGGGAAGGCTTTTTTCCTGCATCTATTGAATCTTAAATATCTTCAGTTTAAAATAATCTTTATACTAACTCAGGGGTTCTGAAAGGGTTCCTGCAGCAGTTAGACAGGAGCTATTGCATTTAATCCAGATGAGAGATGATAGTAGTGACTTGGACCGAAGTGATAGGTGAGGGATGCTGGGGTCAGATTCTGGATGTATTTTGAGGATAGAGCTGAGGTACTGACAACTTGGATGAGGATTTTGGGAAAAGGGAGGGCATCTAGGATGACTCCAGGTTTTTGGCCTGAGCAACAGGAGGAATAGAGTTGTTCTTTACTGTAATAGGGAAATGAGGACATGTAGTAGGACAGGTTTTTTTTCACAGATATTTACTGAATACATTTTGTGTAAAGGAGCAAAAGATAAAACATTGTGAAGATAGTATCCCCCATTAGGTATTTTTATGACAGTTATATTAATAGTTAAGTGTATTAGTTTGCTAGGGCTGCATAACAAAGTACCACAAACTGGGTGGCTTAAACAACAGCAATTTATTGTCTCTCAATTCTAGAGGCTAGAATTCCAAGATGAAGGTGTCATCAGGGTTGGTTCCTTCTAAGGGTGGTGAGGAAGAATTTCTTCCCTGCCTCTCCCCTAGCTGACAATCTTTGATGTTCCTTGACTTCTAGATCTCTGCCTTTATCTTCAGGTGGCGTTCTCTGCCTATCTTCAGATAGGCGTTTTGCAAGCCTATCTCCAAACTTCTTCTCTTTATAATGACCCTGTTTCCAAGTAAGGTTACAGTGTGAGGTACTGGGGATTAGGACTACCACATGTAACATTTTGGGGGGACAATTTTCAACCCATAAGAAACAGGCAATTACTATGTAATTATTTGAATGAGCAGAAAAAGATAGCTAAAGGGAGACAGGAGTGTGAGAGTGCAGATGAAGTAAACCTGAATGTAATTAATGTTACTGTTTTGGCTGTAAAACATCTGATACAGACTTCATTTTGGTCATTTGGCCCAGATTGTAGTTAAGAATTGGAGACTGAAATGGCTGATCAATTTCCCATTGCTGTTGCAGTTACAAATAATAATGGTTACCATGCTATATTGAGCCTCTAACAGGCGTCCTCAAACTACGGCCCGCGGGCCACATGCAGCCTGCTGGGTGTTTTTGCTGCTGCTGCCTGTCCTGCTTAGCAGCCGACTTCTCTCAGGCCCACAGTGCGCATGTGTGGAATGTGCGCCGCACTCTCCAACGGCCCTCCAAGGGTCTGAGGGACAGTGAACTGGCCCCCTGTTTAAAAAGTTTGAGGACCCCTGCCTACGATGTCAGGTATTAAAGCGGGTGCTTTGTATTTTTGACATCCTTTCATATAATAACCCTTTTGGGGTAGGTAGTATGATGTTCATTTTTACAAATAAAGAAACTGAGCTCTTAAGAAGTTTAATGGCTTGCTCCAGACCACACAAAACCATGGTAAAGTCCACCTATAAAAAGTAAAGATTATTATTGGGACCATATTGTAAGATTACAGTCACCCATTGTCTGCACCGGCTAATTCTGAATTAGCCTGTCCTTGTAATATAACTTGATAACATCACCTGTCAAAGAAATTCAAGCAGTTTCCTAATTATATAGGAATGACTCAAATTATATCCTCTGTCACACCTAGGTGGTCATTAACAGATTTTAGCTGACCAAAGATTTAGGTTATGCTTTTTTTTCTTAAACTGAGGTAAAATTCAGATAACATAATTAACCATGTCAAAGTGTGTAATCCAGTGACATTTAGTACATTCACGGTGTTTTGCTGCTATCACATCTACCTAGTTCCAGAACATTTTCATCACCCAAAGGGAAACTCCCTTACTCATTAAACAGTTACTCCCCAATACCCTCTCCCTTCAATCCCTATTCTATTTTTGCCCCCCCTCTGGATTTACCCATTCTGTATATTTCATTATAAAAAATAGAATATTGAGGCCAGGAATTCGAGACCAGCCTGGGCAACATAGTGAGACCCCATCTCTACAAAATATAAGAAAAATTAGGCCAGGTGTGGTGGCTCCCACCTGTAATCGTAGTACTCTGGGAGGCCAAGGCGGGCAGATTGCTTGAGCTCAGGAGTTCAAGACCAGCCTGAGCAAGAGCAAGACCCCGTCTCTACTGAAAAAAAAAAAGAAAGAAATTAGCTGGACAACTAAAAATATACATCTATAAAAAAAATTAGCCAGGGATGGTGGCACATGCCTGTAGTCCCAGCTACTCGGGAGGCTGAGGCAGGAGGTTCGCTTGAACCCAGGAGTTTGAGGTTGCTGTGAGCTAGGCTGATGACACGAACACTCTAGCCTAGATGACAGCAAGACTCTGCCCCCCCCCCAAAAAAATACGTATGGGAAAATAAGGTTAGATTATGTAATTTTAGAACTAAAGTAGCAGAAATAATGTTGATTTCAGAGCCCATGCTTTAAACCACTTCCTCCTAGCCATGATTTTCTCAGTTAAAACTGTAAAGCCTGATTTGCCTCAACTTCTATTCTGTGACATCTGTGTCATGATGAGTCCACTGATAAATGTGTCAAATGACCCACGGTATGCTTGTTACAGGTTCCATGCCTCTGCAGTGGTGCATCATGTTTGCTGTGTAGTTGCTGTCCTAACACTAAGAATTCCACGGTGACGCGCCTCATTTATGCCTTCATTCTTCTCCTGGGCACTGCTGTATCCTGTATCATGTTGACTAAACACATGGAAACTCAGCTGAAGAAGGTAAGTAGAAGTAACAGTAGCCTTAATATACTGGTTATTTTTATTTTTATATTTTGCAAAGTTTTAGTTGTAATTGTTTTTATTTCTTCACTGTTAAACTCAGTCAAGTTCATTGTAGTTTTGGAATTTTTAATTACTTTTGGGTATAGTCAAGACACACAATATGAAGATACTAGTCTTTTCCCAGAAATAAAGAATGAACATCTTCAGGCTCTAGCCATGAAAAGAATGGCTCCAAAACATTTTCTTTCCTTGTGTGTTTAAGATTTAAGCATCTACACTAGACAGGTTCTTCCCCTTTGGACGGAGTTGGTTGTAGCTGGAAAATCTTATGAGAAAATGGGAGAGAACCTCATCAGCATAAAAGCAAAGAAGAGAGATCATTTTAACTTTTAAAATGAAAGTTGTTTATACTATTTGGTAACAGAATTATAAATGAATTGGAAGCCAAAGAGAAAAATTACATAGTCTTGCAGTTGTTAAAGTGGGTAATTTTATAAATTCAGGCTTTCCTGTGGTGGAATAGAATCTTTGTTTAAATATGGATAGTCCCATAGCATTGAAATTGCTTTTTTTTTTTAGATTCCTGGATTCTGTGAAGGGGGATTTAAAATCAGAATGCCTGACATAAAGGCAGATGAAGACTGTGATGTGCTGGTTGGTTATAAAGCTGTATATCGGATCAACTTTGCCTTGGCTGTCTTTTTCTTTGTCTTCTTTCTGCTCATGTTAAAAGTAAAAACAAGTAAAGATCCTAGAGCAGCAGTACACAATGGGTATGTGAGATTCATTATTAACTTGTTATATTGTGGTGTGGCTCCTCCTCCCCTTAAGCAGTTAATGTTGCCATTCTGATGGAAGCAGTGGAATATGTCAATCAGTAGCCCAGATGTATTTCTGATCTGTTTTACTCATGAAATTGTTTTAATGTCATTTTCAGTTAAAACTTTATAACATGGAGGGGATGTGGAGTTCTGTCTGTCTTTTTAAAGATACTTTTGCTTCAAGTTCTTAGATTTTCGTTGAATGCCTATCAAATATTTTAAGCACTAGATACTACATACACATACTTTTCTTTTTCCATTGTTTAAAGATAAACATGTATCTGGCCAGGTGTGGTAGCTTATACCTGTAATCCTAGCACTCTGGGAGGCCAAGGTGGGTGGGGATTGCTCAAGGTCAGAAGTTCGAAACCAGCCTGAGCAAGAGCAAGACCCCATCTCTACTAAAAAATAAAAATTAATTGGCCAACTAAAAATACATAGAAAAAATTAGCTGGACATGGTACACATGCCTGTAGTCCCAGCTACTCGGGAGGCTGAAGCAGGAGGATTGCTTGAGCCCAGGACTTTGAGGTTGCTGTGAGCTAGGTTGATGCCACAGCACTCTAGCCCGGTCAACAGAGTAAGACTCTGTCTCAAAAAAAAAAAAAAAAAAAAAAAAGATAAACATGTAGTTGATGTATTTAAACAGTGTATACACAAACACACAAAAACAAAACCAGAAACCAGTAGGCTGGGTGCAGTGGCTTATGCTTGTACTCCCAGCACTTTGGGAAGCTTAGGTGGGAGCATCACTTGAGGCCAAGGAGTTCAAAACCAGCCTAGGCAACATATCGTGTCCATGTCTCTATAAAAACAAAACTAAAAGCCAAAAAACAAACAAAATATTAGCAGGGCACAGTGGCAGTCACCTGTAGTCTTGGCTACTTGGGGGCTAAGGTGGGTACTGTGGGCCACTGATTTATATATTCTAATGCTTCTCACTCCTGACCACCAGTTCTTGTTTCTGAAGCAAGCTTTATAAACTTCATATATGTTTTACAGTCCCTTTTTACAAATGCAGTGACTGAATTTCAGAAAGGTTAAATAAGTTGTTTGAGATCTCTCAGCCAATTAGAGCTCAGATTGAAACTCAGGTCTGCCTGGTTCTCACTTTGCCATACAAAGTAGTCATTAAAGACCATGAACTGAAAGTCAGGTTTGGTCCTGGCTTTGCCAGTGATGAGCTGTGTCATTTTGGGCAAGACATTTGTGCCCTATGTTGTAAACAAAATATTTGCTGATTGCTTTTCTTTCAAACCTTATAATTAAAGGCTCTGTATGTAGCTAACACTGTTACTTTAGAACTCCTAGAATGCTAGAAAAATTCCTACCTATAAGTGCTAGAAGTAGGGAGATTCTAAACTTACATATTTTTCTCTTATTATTAATGTGAATGATTTATTCTGTGTGCTTATGTTGTCCTTTAATTGTGTAAAATATTAAATGAATTAGCCTCATGTCAAAAAAATAAGCCCAATCATGTTGGGAGAAAAGCTATTAAGCCTTTATTTTTGTATTTCAGAAATTAATTTTTCTCAGTATAAGGGTGAAACTTAGCATTTCATAAATGCATTCTTGTATTTTAATAGGTTTTGGTTCTTCAAAATTGCTGCTCTTGTTGGAATCATGGTTGGGGCTTTCTACATTCCTGGAGGCCCTTTTACCACAGGTAGGGCTCACTATTTGAAGGAGTTAATTATAAGTTATACAAAGTCTATAAATGATTAAGTTAAAGCTACATTTTCATTACTGATTTTGTTGAACTGATAATTAAGTGAGATGGTGTCTGATTAATATGACTTGGTGCCTGCAACCCAGTATTAATGTATTCATGTAAAGCTGGGAAGCCTTCAGACCAGTTATCAGCTTTTCTGGAACCATGTGTTAATCCATTGCCAATATTTTAATAGCTTACCTTCTCATTTGACTCAGTACAAAGTTAATCAGAGAGCTTGTCAACATAAGGACTTTTTTTTTCCCCCTGAGACAGAGTCTCACTCTGTTGCCTGGGCTAAAGTGCCATGGCATCAGCCTAGCTCACAGCAACCTCAAACTCCTGGGCTCAGGTGATCCTCCTGCCTCAGCCTCCCAAGTAGCTGGGACTACAGGCATGTGCTACTATGCCTGGCTAATTTTTTCTATATATTTTTAGTTGGCCAATTAATTTCTTTATATTTATAGTAGAGACGGGGTCTCACTCTTGCTCAGGCTGGTCTCAAACTCCTGAGCTTAAAGGATCCACCCGCCTCGGCCTCCCAGAGTGCTAGGATTATAGGTGTGAGCCACCACGCCTGGCCAACATAAGGACTTTTAATTCCTTGTGTTCACTATCTGTCTTAACCTACTTCCTTAACATGGCATCAAGTGACACCTGTGGATTTCTGCTGTGATTTTTTTCCCCCCTTAAAATAAGGGAAAAGGCTTATCGTATGATTTGGAATGTTGGGTGCCAGGCTCCCCTTGGCACAAGCTAAAACATTTTAAAAAGTCTGAAACCCAACAGACTACTTCTCAGAGAATGCCTTTGAGTTTGAAGTTGTAATCTTGCTAGATTATCAGAGACAGAATGTTTTTACCATCTCTCTTCTTTGAATTGAAATCTGTTCAGAATATTGAACAATACATTCTGAAATGTTACTCTTATGGTAGAGAATAACTTTGTTCTCTTGTTTTATAGCCTGGTTTACTGTTGGCATGGGAGGGGCCGCTTTCTTCATCCTCATCCAGTTGGTGCTGTTGGTAGACTTTGCTCACTCTTTGAATGAATTATGGGTAAATCGAATGGAAGAAGGAAACCCAAGATTGTGGTATGCTGGTAGGTATCTAACCTCACCTTTGATAGCTGTACTGCTGCATAGGGTGTACAATAAAATCTCCATTATAATTAAGTTAATCAGAGAGTTTATCAACATAAGGACTTTACTCCTTGTGTTCTACTTTCTGTCTTAACCTACTTCCTCTTTCTGTCTTAACCTACTTCCTTAACGTGGCATCAGGTGACATCTGTGGATTTCTACTGTGATTTTTTTCCCCCCTTAAAATAGACGAAAAGGTTTATCATCTGGAATATAGCCCTCTACTGTAGTCCTCAGCTATGGGAGGCTGAGGTGGGAGGATTGCTTAAGCCCAGGAGTTTCAAATCAGCCTGGGCAAGGTAGTGAGACTGCCTCCAAAAACAAAGAGAAAACGCCGTTGATTTAAATGTCTACATTCCCAATGTCAAGCTGCCTTTTTTTTTTTTTTTTTGAGACAGAGTCTCACTTTGTTGCCCAGGCTAGAGTGAGTGCCGTGGCTTCAGCCTAGCTCACAGCAACCTCAAACTCCTGGGCTTAAGCAATCCTACTGCCTCAGCCTCCCGAGTAGCTGGGACTACAGGCACGTGCCACCATGCCCGGCTAATTTTTTTATATATATATATATTAGTTGGCCAATTAATTTCTTTCTATTTTTTATAGTAGAGACGGGGTCTCATTCAGGCTGGTTTTGAACTCCTGACCTTGAGCAATCCGCCCGCCTCAGCCTCCCAGAGTGCTAGGATTACAAGCGTGAGCCACCGTGCCCGGCCTCAAGCTGCCTTTTAAAAACTGTAATTTTCTGAATTTGATTCTGAATTACTGGCATTATTGGAAGGGAATAGTATAGATAATGTAAATCATTGGATTCTCCCAATTTATTTATTTTGAAAGTTGTAGTGTAACCACATTGTTTAGATAAGGCAAAACAGTTGTATTTAGTAGCATAGTTCTGATTTTGATAACTTTGTTTCTATGGACATGGAATTCAAATGGATTCTACATACGTGACAGCTGCCTATATCCCTCAGGCAGATAGGAGTGAATAGTCCTTACTGCTTTATTCAGAATGTGATCCCACACCTGTTGTGGAAAGCTTTCTGGTAGGAAAGGAACACTTAAAATTTCTAGGCTGAGAATAGAACTTACAGCCTGTTTCATGATGAGGAGGGACTTTGGATCCCTCTACTTACTAGTGGCAATTATCCGGCCATACTACCCCATGCCTTTCCTCCATTATAAAAGTAACAGATGCTTTGTGTCAAGAACTTGGAAAACAGAAAATCACAAAAGAAAATAAATCCTCCATAATTCAACTATCCAGTAGTTATTAATCACTGTTAACATATTACTCTACATTCTTCCAGTCTTTTTTTTTTTTTTTTTGACAGGTTGTCCCTCTGTTGCCCAGCTAGAGTGCTGTGGTGTCATCATAGCTCATTGCAGCCTCAACCTCATAGGCTTAAGCAATCCTCCTGCCTCAGCCTCCCAAGTAGCTGGGACTACTTATGTGTACCAGCATGCTCAGCTAATTTTTATATTTTTTGTAGAGATAAGTTCTTATGTTGCCCAGGCTGGTCTCAAACTCCTGACCTCAAGTGATCCTCCTACCTCAGTCTCCCAAAGTGCTAGGATTATAGGTGTGAGCCACCATGCCTGCCCTTCTTTGTGTCTTTTTTCTGTGTGTCCATATGTATCTTTTGTGTGTAGAAAAGAAAAATTTAAGTCATTGAAAAACATATGTGTTTATTTTTTAATCATCTTATACATTATACTTTTGAATAGTTTGTAGTTTGGCTTTTTTTAAACTTAGAAGTAGCCTGTGAATATATTTTGGCTGTAGTACAGCATATATTTGTTTGAGTGCATTTCTGATCATTTCCTTAGGATAAATTTCCAGAAGTAGAAAGGTCAAAGTGTATGAATATTTTGAATGCTTTTAGTACATACTATTAAATTGTCCAATTTTATTTTCATTTTATTTATTTAGCTTTTTGAAATATATACATATATTAAAAAATACTATGTTTACCATAAAAACAAATGCTAGAACTTTATAAAGAATAAGATATGCAAATCTCCACCCACCTGCAATGCATTTTCTTTTCCAGGTATAGCCACTATTATTGGACCTTTATATAGTTACACATACATTGCTTTTGTATTTAACTGTAAACAGGATTATACATGTATTATTCCATGACTTGCCTTTTCACTTATTATATGATGCATATCCTTCCATGCTAGTGAATATAGATATGACTTACTTATTTAACAACTATATGGTATTCCATTCCATACAATTCCGGGGCATTCCATAGCATAGTGTACCATATTTATTTAACCTTTGCCCTATTGTTAGTCACTTAAATTGTTTATAATGACTATTTCTTTCAGCAAGAGATTTTTAAAAACTGTCTATATCATTTATTATTATGGGTTGAAAATCCCAAAGCTGCTCGTTTGCTTTCTGACTAATATAAATTTATTTTATTTTTTCATCTATTTACGTCTGTTTTCTGTAATTCATTTTGGATCACACTACTTGAGAAGAACTTAATTGCCATACTTTACAGTAACTTAAGTGTGGAGAAATCTTGTATATTCAGATGGAAAAACATTAGGAGCTGTGCTAGTGTCTTAATATATACATCATTTAATTTTAAACATTAAGAATCAATTAAGGAGAGTAGAACTAGTTTTCCTAAGTCTGTGCTTTTTAAATGAGTACAGGTTAACTGAGGTCAACATTGCTGCAGTTGGCCTGAGTATATTGCATGTTTTGTTTCATGTTTTCCCTGATTTTCAGAGATTATCTGTGTAAATGGAAAGGAACATTACCTTAGATATTTGAAAGTAGCAAATGAGCCACTTTCCCAGTTCAGTCATGTAGTCTCACTGTTTGTGATGGGAAACAGATTTAGGTAGCCAGTGGCTACAGAAGGAAAAACTGCCATAAAAAGGTATCTATGTCTTCTATTTTCCCCTAACACTGTCCGTGGCATGTAGTTTGCTGTAAACTGGGCCATTTTGAGGGCCGAGGAATCATCTAGGCTCCTAAGAAAAACTTGTAATATACATTATTTAGCATGTAGTGAACAGTTTACTCTAGCTGGGATGATAAAATGTCTAGTAATCCAACCCATGAAATCAAATTAGGTAACCTAGCGAGTGAATGCAGTTGCTTGGTGGATTTAGAATTTAACATGGAGCCAATCTAACAGAATCTGATACTTAACCTTAGAGATTTGGTAATTTTAGTGTAAATTACTAACTCTGTAAAAGTGAAATGATGCCTCTTTTTTTTTAAATGGAGTAGAAAAAAATTTGTCTTCATTGTAAGTTTATTATAATTGTGGACATTCATTTTGGTTTCCTTTTTCCAGTTTTACTGTCTGTCACAAGCTTCTTTTATATCCTGTCAATTATCGGTGTTGGGCTGCTCTATGCGTATTACACCAAACCAGATGGCTGCACAGAAAATAAGTTCTTCATCAGTATTAATCTAATCCTTTGCATTGTGGTTTCTGTTATATCAATCCACCCAAAAATTCAGGTATGATTGTTTTGTGTTGCTTCCTTCTGTTTTTATTTAATGCTAAGCTTAAAATCTAGATAACTTTTTTAATGAATTTGTGTCTAAGTTTGTTCACTTAAACATTTTTTCATACTATAATAATGTCTTCATAATTATAATCCAATAAGGATACAATGTACCATTGAGTGCCAGTATCATAATTCAATGAAATTCCCTGTTAAAAAAAAAACCTAGGTAATTTAATTTTTTTTTTTTTTTTTTTTTTTTGGAGACAGAGTCTCGCTTTGTCACCCTGGGTAGAGTACAATGGCGTCATCATAGCTCACTGCAACCTCTAACTCTTACGTTGAAGTGATTCTCCTGTCTCAGCCTCCTGAGTAGTGTGCCATGATGCCCGGCTAATTTTTCAATTTTTAGTAGAGACGGAATCTTGCTCTTGCTCAGACTGGTCTCAAACTCCTAAGCTCAAGCAATCCTCCGGCTTTGGCCTCCTAGAGTGCTAGGATTACAGAGATGAGCCACTGCGCCTGGCCTGAGAATTTGTCGTTCTTATAAAAATGTTTATATCATGGGAATGATTTTTATGGTTCATTAGCCAAGATATTTTGGGGGAATTAAGCTATGAAAAATAATTAATTTTAATATTTCAAAACAAAATTCATACTTTTGAGTTTCATCTTTTAAATGCCATACTTTAAAAAAGTCATGGAGTTTTAGATGTGAAATATGAAAAGAACATCTAAACATCACCTCTTCTTTTAAAAGTGAAAAAACTGAAGCCTCAAAGAAGTGATGGGTCTCACCTAACTAACAGTGTTAAAGCTGAGCTTAGACTAAAATCAAAGCCTTTGTGTGACACACAGGAATTTCTAGGACTATAAGATGCCTTGAGAACAGTAGTACATGCTTCGTCTTTCTTGGTTTATTTGCAAGCTAACTCAAACTGAAAGGGTACTTTTTATCTTTCAACTGATTTTCAGTTACTGGCAGTTACTTGGGATTCAGTGAACCCCCTGGGAAGTACACCGGGTTTTAGAAAGTCATGCCTTAGCAATCCCTGTGGCATTGTTTTCCTTTTGATTCCATAGGAACACCAGCCTCGCTCCGGCCTCCTGCAGTCCTCTATAATCACCCTCTACACCATGTACCTCACCTGGTCAGCCATGTCCAATGAACCTGGTAAGGGTATGTCAATAGCACAGTCATTTGATGAAGGAAAAGTAGGAAGTTACCCCTTAGGTGGGTGAAGAAATGAGAGCTAGGGCAAATATAAAATTAAAAACCAAAACTTCATACAGTGTTCACTGTAGGTTTACAGACGTTTGCCTTTTCACATTTTACGTCTATTCATAGCTACTCATAACTGACAACCTAAAGGGTCCCGCTGTCTTTTAGATCAGCAGTCCCCAACCTTTTTGGCACTGGGACGGGTTTCATGGAAGACAGTTTTTCTGTGGCCTGGGGATGGGGGGGGGGGTCGAGGGTGGCATGATGCTTAGGTGGTCTTGCAAGGCCTGTTTCCTAACAGGCCTCAGACCAGTAATGGGTTGTGGCCTTGTGGGTCGGGGACCACATTTTTAGATAGTCTAAGCTTTACCAAACCTATACTGAATCAATCTAGTTAAGAGCTCTGGACTAGGGCAGCCTTCTTTTGGCCTTTTGTAAAATTGTTTCTATTGAATTTTACTTTGGTGTCACAGGCTGTTGAAAAAATATCTATAGGAAATTTCATTTTGTAATTATTACAGGATTATTTTTTAATAGGATAAATGCCCATTTTATGGGCTTCTTTTAGAGGAAAACAATTATTGCATACCCCCTCCCCAATGATAACTTTCTTTTTTATTCTTAAGTAACTAGGTAAAAATAAAAGTAGGAATAAACTTCAGTACTTAAAGCCTGACATCATAGAACTCAAAAGATTTGTCAATTAAACTATAAAACCAATAAAACCCAGAGAGACATTTATGAAATTTGACAGATACTGTTGTTTTCTTTTTTTCCTAATACTAAGTCACTGGTTGTGATGCAGATATGTTACTGCTGAGTTTTAGATTCTTTAAATGTGGCATTCCCATGTTTTACATCATGACTGAATGATGTGTAAGCAACTCCTCAAGCCCTTTCTTGGAAGGATAATAAAACATTTCCGATCGTTCCTGCAACCCTAGCCTGCTGAGCATCATTACACACATAACTGCACCAACTTTGGCTCCTGGAAATTCCACTGCTCCGGCCCCTACCTCTGCTCCACCATCAAAGAGTGGAGGTTTTCTGGATACAGAGAATTTCATTGGGCTGCTGGTCTTTGTTATCTGCCTTTTGTATTCTAGGTAAGTTAAAAGATACTTAGGACAAGATGGCAATGGAGAATAATAATAAAGGAAGCTATTTTGCCTTCAAAAAGCAGTGTGAGGAATTACAAAAAAAAATTAGCTATCTTTAAAGAAAAGTCTTTTACTCCAGTTACAGAGCTGTGTACAGTTCTTAAAAGTTCACTAAATCCACTCATCAAATAATTTATTCAATCTTACAAAGAGATATTTTAAGAAAGTGGCTGGAATTTTGATAGGGATCGTATTGAATCTATAAATCAATTTGGGGAATATTGCCATCTCAACAATATTAAGGCTTACAGTCTGAACATGATGATGTCTTATTTAGGTTTTCTTAGACCATTTATTCAGATCTTTAATTTCCTTCAGTGGTTAGTAGTAAGCAGTGTACCAGTCTTCAACTTTTTTTGTTAAATTTCTATTGTATTCTTTTTGATGCTATTGTAAATGAAATTGTTAATTTAACTTTGGGGTGGTTTATTGCTAGTGTATAGAAATACAATTCATTTTTGTATATTGATCTTGTATCCTGCAACCTTGCTGAACTTGTTTATTGTGTCTAATAATTTGTGTGTATTCCATAGGATTTTCTAGATACAAGATCAAGGCATCTGCAAATAGAGATAATTTTACTTCTTTTCCAATCTGGACATGGATACCTTTTATCTGTTTTTCTTGCTTAATTGCTCTGGCTAGAACATCTAGCCAGTGTTGAACATCTAGCTAGTGTTGAATAGAAATGGTGAGAATGGGACCCTTGTCTTGTTCCTGATCGTAAGGAGAAAGCTTTTAGTTTTTCACCATTGAGTATGGTGTAAGCTCTGGGTTTTTCATTGATGCCTTTTATCTGTTTGAGGACATTCTCCTCTATTTCTGCTTTGGGTGTTTTTATCATGAAAGGGTATTGGATTTTGTCAGGTGCTTTTTTCTGTGTCTGTTGAAATAATCATGTGGTTTTTGTCCTTTATTTGTATGTACTTTTTTGTTTGGTCATTTAAACTTTCAGTGAGCATCTGTGGTGCTAGAAACACATAGATGACACTAAGGTTATTGTCAAGGAGTTCTTTGAATAGCAAGAAAGACAGGAATGATAAGTGCAGTGGCAGAAGGAAGCTTAGGGAGCTGTGGGAAGTCAGAGGAATGTCTTCTAATCTAGCCTAGTGACAGTTGGTGTCAGGGGAAGGCTTTCCAGAGGACGTGGCACAAGTCAGAGAAGTGAAGGATGAGTAAATTAGCTGGGAGGAGTTTGGTGGGTGGTACATTCCAAGCATAGCAGAGTCAAAAAGCCATGGAAGGAGACACTGAGAGCAGAATGTTTTGGTATACTCATAAGCAATTAAGCCATCAAGTAGTAACTGATGAGAGTACTGTCGGGGTTATGATGACAAGTAACAGTTCAGAACTTGAAGCAGGGCCTTCCTTCAGTAGGCCTTGTCTCCAAAGTAGGAACAGCTCAGAAATAATGTGTACAGGCCAGTGGCAGCAGTTTGTCTTCATGGCACCTTTCTGATTTGTCTTCCTTGGGATTACTTTCCAGCATCCGCAATTCCAGCAATAGCCAAGTAGACAAGCTGACCTTGTCAGGGAGTGACAGCGTGATCCTTGGTGATACAACTGCTAATGGTGGCAGCGATGAAGAAGATGGGCAGCCTCGGCGGGCTGTGGACAACGAAAAAGAGGGAGTGCAGTACAGCTACTCCTTCTTCCACTTAATGCTCTGCTTGGCTTCCTTGTACATCATGATGACCCTAACCAGCTGGTACAGGTAGGAGGCACAGACAAAACAGAAAACACCACATAGCCTCTTGGATGGCCTATAAAATGTCCATCTATTGTCCTAACCTCAGAAGTCCTCTTACACATATAATGAAGTTATGTTCAATGCTGACTCTTTTCTGAAATACTTTTGACTGTTCCTCCCCTAGCATTTAAAACCTATTGGAATTCTTTGCAGTGCACATCATCAGGAGCTCTCCCAGACTTGAGTTAATTGAAAGAGATAATGATGACATAAAGCAATCTGACCCATCTTTGTTCATTAATTTTCTGTGTCTAGAGATGGTTCAAGTAAGGTGCTAAGGAAGGAACGTTTCCGGGAGGCCATCTCAATTGACAGTCTAATTTACTGGTAAAATAGACTTTTACCAGTAACTAGAATAACGAGATGTTTCTGAAGAACTCTGCCCAGATAGTCAGGGTCTTTCCTGCTGACAAGAAGAAAAAAGCCATTTGAGAGGCATAGTCTCTTGCTCTTAAGAACTAGCTTCCTCAAATCCCCTCTAGAACCTTACTGGGAGGTTAGTGCCAACCATGTTTCAGTGGAGAATTTCTTGCCCTTGGCAGGGGGGCTGTGAAATGCTGATATCAGGCTCCTTTACATGACTCTCCTGTTTTCTCAGCCCCGATGCAAAGTTCCAGAACATGACCAGCAAGTGGCCAGCTGTCTGGGTGAAGATCAGCTCCAGCTGGGTCTGCCTCCTCCTCTACGTCTGGACCCTTGTGGCTCCTCTTGTCCTTACTAATCGGGACTTCAGCTGAACTTCAGAGTGCCAAGGATGCCACTGAAATTCATAAAGGTCTCCTTTGCCGAAAACCCATATCTCTTTTAGGTTTGCTTCAACTAAAATATTAAGTGAACGCTTTACAAATTTGACTATATCCAGGTTTATAGCAGAAAGGCAAGATCGAATAATGCTTGATGCAGAATCTGAACTTTCCATTTATCTATATATTAATATTATGTTTATTTGTAAGGATATAGCACAAAGGGAACATTTTTATGTTTAAAGTGAACCTACAGCTGTGCTGTGAAGAGAGTTCTTTATAAAGATTGATATGTTCCTAGAAGTTTGATTTAAAATATAAGATAGAAAAATGTTGGATATTTGAGGCCATCATTAATATATTTCTATTGCAGTATCCTTAAAAAGCAAAAAAGAAAAAAAAAAGCATTTATATGACAGTTTTCCTCTGAAAGTCCTTACTAGTGTAATACAAGCACTGTGTTCCATGCTTAAACTTTTTGGAGGTGTAGCATCATAGTTCTTGGGGAATTATGTATGTGGGTCCTTCCCAGAAGAGTGGTTGCTGATATGGCTACTGCTGCTACATCTTGAGTTTTTTAATTTACCTTTTTTATACTATAGCATTGATGCTGCTTGATTCAAGTGTGGTGCTTTGCCAGGTATGTTAATTTTAATAAATGCTTTGTGGGTTTCGTTAAAGTGAACATTCACTTGGGAAAACACTGCAACTTTAGTCTGTGTAATTATCTTGTTATGAGTATGTAAAAGTAAAATGCATGTGAATTTGTTATATTTGCACTATAAAGGTATTTGATTAAACTAGAACGACTTTAAGATTTTAAGGCCCTTTCTTTAACAGCTTTTATGAGTTAGCCATTTTTTATTTTTTGGACAGTCAGGTTCATCAAGCATCTAAGTGAGATGCTCTTGTTCCTTCATGTGGTCTGACTGGTGAGCAAAATCTTGAATTCACTAAGAAACCGTCATAAGTATCTTCTCTGAGTAAGACACTTTGGTAGATGAGAGACAAGTGAGGCACTGTTAAGAAATGTTTTCTCAAGAAGGCAGCATATAAAAAGGTAGAATAAAACCATTTTGTTTTTTCAGCAAAGATTCACTGTCCTGCCCCAGGCCCTGTAGGTTTTGGAGGACAGCCTTAATTAAACATGATAGAGGCTCTGCCATCTTGGACTTACAGCTTAGAGGAGAGTGAAAATGAGCTGACAAGTGGTTATAATGTGGTGAATTGGTGCTATGATTTAGGAATTGCAGAGAACTCAGAGGAGAGGTACCAGGAGTAAATAAAGGGTGTCATGGTAGGCTTCCTGGGGGAAGTGATGTCTAAGCCAAGAACTGTTAGGCATTAGCTAAGACAGAAATGGGCAAGTGGGATGACATTGCTAAAGAGTAGACAAAACTGCATATTAAAGGCAGGGAGATAGAAAAAAAAGCTAGAATGGGGAAAAGTAGGGACTGAGTTATGAAGGGCTTTATAAACCCCACTAAACAGTTTGGACCTTATTACGTTGAGGGCAACAGAAAGCACATCTTAGTGCCATGATGAAATTTTATCTTCAGTCACTTTGTCTGATGTATAGAGAATGGATTTAGAGAGATGAGACCAGGGCCAGTCCATGTGAGATTTGAAATAGAGAAGTAGAAGTGGGGATGGGGAGAAATTAACAGCTGAGAGCTACTTAGCAATTAGAATTTGAACATTGGCAATTAATTAGATATGGGGGAGAGGTAGATTTCTGAGTGATTCTGCTTTAATCATCTGGGTGGGTGGTGGTTCCATTTATTCAGGTGGGAAACAGGAAAAGGAACAGGAATTAGAAGGATGGAGGTAGGTGGTCCCTTAAGAATAGGCTTGGGAGTTAGATTGTTTGAGTCTGCATCCCAGCTTTGTCATTTTCTAGCTGCCAAACTGATGAGCTAGTATTTATTGAGTACATACTATGCTTTATGAAGTTGAGCCAATGTCTCTACCTCTCTGAGCCTCAGTTTTAGTACCTTAGTACGTAAGATTGCTTAAAGTCATTTTGCAAAGTGCTTACCCCATTTTAAGCACTCTGACAGTAGCTGTTAATCTCAATGTGGGCTATAATGAGACAGGATGATATTCAAAGGTTAGAGATGTTCAGCCAGAAATGGATGGAGGCAGGATTTGAGGTGTTCTCACAAAATCGAACAGATGAACGTAGAGGGAGTGGGCTCAGGCGCGGCAGAGGCAGCGGGTAGGGAAGCAGGGATTGGTATGAATTGTTGGAACCACATTGTCTTTTAAACCAGTGGTTTATGTCTATGTATGGAGAAAAAGATGCAAGGGATTTGAGGAATAAATAGGAAGAGTTAGCCCCTTATTTCACCCGTGTAAATCAGATACCTACTTTCCTTAACAGCAGGAGAGCCAGATAAAGAGCTTTAAAGGTCCTAAACTTCTAAAACATTACAGTGTCCCCCGCCCATTCTCCGCCTTATGTAATTCAAAATAAAAGCAATACTAAACTGTAAAATAAATGTAACAAAGTCCAATAAAGTTTTTACTTTTTATCATGATGATAACTTTGATATTGATTTGAAGTAAAAAATTATCTTTAAAAATTGGGGAGCAGTGCCCCTACCTTCCTTGGTCATACCTTAAGAATGAGTTACATCTGCCTGTTAATCAGAAACCCAGTCGTTTACTCAAGTGAATTATGCACGTGAATGCTGAATTACATATAAGCATAAATAATGTCAACATTTTGAGTAAGCCTGAGATCATAATTTGAAGCAGGGGAGTATTTTGAGTCATAAGATCTCATGGTAGCATCTCATTCCAGATGAGTAACTAACTTGGTGTCTCATCACTATGAACAGGCTTGTCTGTTTCCCCAGGACTGCAGTTGGAGGACGGTGGCTTTGAGGTCGGGGCATGCTTTAGGAATTCATGAAAGGCAACAGCAGTTTTACCTTGTTACAGCTGGGAGAAAGCTTGTAGGCTCATGCTGGATTTGTTTACTTTCTAAGTTGGTCTTGAAAGATACTTGGTTGGGAAATAAAACTTTCTCTTGATAATCAGAGAGACTCCCAAAGAGTGGCCATGGACCGGGTTATCAATGTAGGCCTTTTTAGGGGGTGAGGGTGTTCACGTTAATCAAGTGAAGCGCAGTGCAAATGGAGAAGGAACAAAGACATCTGTAACTGGTCATGGTCAATTAGTTGTTAACACCGCTGCACTTGGACCAGCCTGGTATAGCTTTTGAGTTTCTGAACCAAGCCATAACTCAGGCTAATTTAAACCATGACAGCTTTTTTGTCCATTGTAAGTCCTTGTTTGATTATACAGCTAAAGTGGGTATTCACACAGTGAGTCATGCATTTGATCTCTGCAGACTGATATAGCAGGTAATAGGCTTATGAGTATTAATGGGAGCTGCTGTTCTTCTCTTTACTCCTGTTGTGTTGGTCTGTCCATCCTGTTAGCTAGGCTCCCAGATCAGTCAGCCTACTCAGTGATGCCTTGGTTACTGCTGGGTGACTCAAGCACACGATGCCTGTGTCTTTGGGTGAAGAATAATAGTAAATACCGCATAAATAGCTGTGTGTACCAAGCAGTGAACAGATACTAGCTACACCCTTGTACAGTGGTGATTATTCCCTCCCTTCTACCCACCCCTCCCCCCATTACAGATAAAATTGAGGCTTAGAAAAGTTTATGACTTGCCCTCGGTTACTCAGAGGTGAGACAGAGAAACCATCCCAGGGTTTGACTTAAAGAGTTTTTGTTTTGAGACAGTCGCCCCAGGCTAGAGTGCAGTGGCATCATCATTGTTTACTGCAATCTCCAACTCCTGGGCTCAAGTGATCCTCCTGCCTCAGCCTCCCAAGTAGCTGGGACTACAGGCACATACCACCGATGTCTGGCTAATTTTTCTGTTTTATTTATTTAATTAATTAATGAATGAATTAATTTTGAGACAGAGTCTTGCTTTGTTGCCCAGGCTAGAGTAAGTGCTGTGGCGTCAGCCTAGCTCACAGCAACCTCAAACTCCTGGGCTTAAGCAATCCTGCTGCCTCAGCCTCCCGAGTAGCTGGGACTATAGGCATGTGCCACCATGCCCAGCTAATTTTTTCTATATTAGTTGGTCAATTAATGTCTTTCTATTTATAGTAGAGACGGGGTCTCGCTCTTGCTCAGGCGGTTTCAAACTCCTGACTTTGAGCAATCCACCCGCCTGGGCCTCCCAGAGTGCTAGGATTACAGGCGTGAGCCACGGCACCTGGCCTAATTTTTCTGTTTTAGTAGAGATGGGGTCTCGCTTTTGCTCAGGCTGGTCTTGAACTGTGAAACTTTTGCTGTCATTGATTGTTTAAGGGTACCATGTAAGGAATGAGCATTGAGAAAGTGTTGACTCATGACACAGAAATGTGCCTCCGGTGTTCCTTGTGACACTGTTGTGAGATAAAAAGGATTGGAGCAGTGGCTCCATTTTTCCAGATGTGACAGACTGTGCTTAAGTTCCACAACTTCCTCAGGAAATGCCGACCTGAATTGCTGGTATGTTGCAATGTAAGTGCTTAACCTTTTGCATCATCAAAAGCGTACATCCTGTGGCATAGTATTTCTCAACTGACTCATCAGCGACACACCAGACCCACCATGGGAACCTAGCTTTTGTCTACTCTGGAGCAGAGTGTATGCTCCTCTATAAAAACAAACGGGGCATGCAGAGAAACAGCATAGCATGCATGGGACCAGAGTTGGTCCAGCTACACCCTAGTTACCCATCAGGGAGTCTGGGCTTGTTCATAGGTGCTTCTGAAATAAAATGTTCAATTATAACTTGGGTCTCAGAGGTTAAGAACAGCTGCTTTATATTTTTAAGAAGCCAGAAAACAAGCCAATTTCTAGTACCTTCTTGCTCTATAAAAAAGCCCTTCCTTTTCTCCCTGTATATTGTCTGGAGGTTGGTTATTCAACTATAAGAATAAGACACACACACAACCTAGCCCCAACCATCAGGAGGAAATAGTGGGCTCCAATCAGGCTGTCTGGTTTTGAATCCCATCTCCACTATTTGCCTAGCTGTGTGTCTTGGGGCAAGCTACTTTTCTGTGTCTCATTTTTCCCACAGGGACATACTACTACTTCATTAAGGGTATCTGAAGGTTAAATGAGATTATGTATGAGCAACACTCAACATGTGTGTACCCAGCCCTTGTGAGCACTCAGGAAATTGTTAGCTGTCATTGGAAAGATTCAAGGCCAGTCCAAGTATAGCTGGGCCTCAAGAACTAAAAAATGTGCCTATCACTCCTGTCGCTGTTGGTAGCTAGTTTCATTCTCCTTTCTACATACTGGTGTAATCTAACTGCACATGGTCTTTGGAGGCAGCCAGCCCAACATCCACAATAGCAGTTCCCAACGTTTTTGGCACCAGGGACTTGTTTCATGGAAGACAGTTTTTCCACTGGGGAAGGGGAGATGGTTTTGGCATGATTCAAGAGCATTACATTTATTGTACAAACATCTCTGCTAATAATAATCCGTATTTGCAACTGCTCCCCGGCGCTAGCATCACTGCCTCAGCTCCACCTCAGATCATCAGGTATTAGAGTTTCATAAGGAGCCTGCAACCTAGATCCTTCGCATGTGCAGTTTACAGTGGGGTTCGCACCGCTATGAGAATCTGATGTAACTGCTGATTTGACAGGAGGTGGAGCTCAGGTGGTGATGCCAGCGATGGGGAGCACCTGTAAATACAGATGAAGCTTTGCTCACTCACCTGCTGTGTGGCCCTGTTCCTCACAGGCTCCAGACTGCTTCTGGTCCACGGTCCGGGGGTTGGACCACAGATCTACAGAGGATACTTTGCTGCGACAGTCCCCTTCCTACCTCCCCTGGAGAGGAGGCTCTGTCTGTCAAGGCCTGTGAATAATAAACCTCAGAAACTTTATCCAAACTGTCATCGTCACAAAAGAACTCCACACATATTTAACCTTACAAGGGTTTTTATTAAGACCCAGTAGTCATGCATACTAAAATTACATATTTTCACCACTTTGACTTAGAAAATGCACTAGAAAAATAAACTTTTGGTCAAAACAAACACTGAAGTACATGAATCCACCACCATGTGTCCTACACGCAAAGCCAAACTGAATTTCAGTTTGAAGCAAGGAATGTGACCAGTGGCTGAAATGGTGCCTCAAACTGGTCAGAAAATTAGCCTACCTTTCACCCCATCAGAGAGTAGTGTCAGAGGCTGATGGTCACAGAGAGGTTTCAAGTATTGCACTTTTAACAAGTTCCTACCTGATGTGCCAAGAAGCCGAGGCACGTTCACAAGAATCCATAACAGTGCTGACTTACTGCCTGACTAAATATACTGCCCAGGGAGATTAAAAGAAAACTAGCCAAGTAAAAATAGTAAATTCATCACTATCATTTCCATCTACAAATCACACTGGGCCTTCCATGAAGCAAGCTCCTGTTGACTCTGATGGTATTTGTTACTTGCATTTTAAGCAAACCATTTCTCCACGTCAGAGGAGCAGAATTAGAATTAGCAGATCCCAAGACTGAGAGGTGTTATCAGAAGTGACATCTTTCCTCAACAGTAGACACGTTTGGTACTTCCACATCTCTTAGGACCACAGGACAGCTACACTTACTAGGTTAGCTAACATTTTACTCCCTAAATGAAAGGTGGTTTCAAAGCAAAACCTTAAAAGCTGAAAACTTTAAAATGAGGTAGCAGAATAATGCCATAACAGTATTATATATAGCTTTTGCTACCCAAATGAAAAAGTAATTCCATGATTGATCTGAGAGTCAAATGGCATTGAGAGAAACTGCCCAGCCAGGGAGAATTTTGAAAGGCTTGGGGAAAATACTTCTTATTGCCCTGTTTCTGAAAAAAACAGTATCTGGTTACCTGAATTATTAATAAACCACGTAAGACTTCTTGCAAAAACAGGATGACATGAGAGATTTACAGCCACCTTTGCCAAGAGCAAGTAAGAAACTCAAGATGTGAAGCCAGGGTTGTACTTCTGGCTGTTTCTGTAGATTTCATACAGCCTCTCCCCAGGAAGGTAGAACAGAATTCTAGGAAGAGGCATAGTTTTCCAGAATTCTGTGTAGAGGGGTATAAGGAAAGAAGAGGAAGAAAACTCCCATGTACCTCAGCTTACAGATTAATTTGGAAGCTGTAGTTACCAATTCATTCAGACCTAAATCTCCTAAATAACATCCCAATGAAGGGGAAAAGGCCTCCAGAAAGACAAGAGTGTGGTGTCCCTGTAGCAGTAAAGCCAATCAGATGCCAGGGACAGATAATTGAGAGTATGGCTCTCCTCTATCATAGGATGATCCAGGGATGTAAGTGGCTCGTCCAAGGCCACACAGCGAGGTAAATTTGAACTTGGCTCTCCTAATTTGCTATCCCTTTCCTTCCCAATACCACATTACCTTGATTTTAGGGAAGGGTTACTTTCCAGGTATTTATGCGATGGGCCAGAACCTTTCCCTGAAGGAAAACGCTCCTGGTTCTTGAGGTTCACTTGTTGCTCCGCCAGGGTGCTGCGTCCCACTGAGTCAGGCTCCCTGTGTTGATCCTGGAAGTTCCCCATCCTGCTGGGGCAGCTTCCCACCAACACCCTGGTGAAGCCACAAGGACACTGCCTTGATTTTCACCCAGGGAGGTCCTGGTCTCACAGCTTGGCTCAAACCTGAGAGATGCCAGAACGATGTGATCTCTCTTTGGATCCGAAAGAAAGCACAGCACCTCCAGGAGGCAGACAAACCAAGGCTCTGACTCCTTTCAGAAGCTGAATGAAATAGCTTGTTCCTGATCCAACTGGAAAGGCCTGGGAAATGGGCAACATCCTTTCTGGTCTTTGAGATTTTTCTTTTCTTTCTTTAGACAGAGTCTTGCTCTGTCACCTTAGCTAGGGTACAATGGCATCATCAGAGCTCACAGCAACCTCCAACTCCTGGGCTCAAGCGATCCTCCTGCCTCAGCTTCCTAAGTAGCAGGGACTACAGGCCTGAGCCACCACACCAGGCCTGAGATATTTCTTTAGGTGAGCTTGGCCATCCCTATGTTAAGTCACATAGACAAAGGCAATTGGCCAAGAATGCAATGCAGAACTGAAACCTCAGGAGCTTGGTGGAGCTGAGTAGTTCATTCCTTTCTTTGCCTAGTTTTAAAATTTTTGTTGTTTTTTTTCTCTCTTCCCTCTTGGGACCTGAGAAAGCCTCCAAGCATGTCCCATCCAGACCATTGGGTTCTGAATGCTCTACTTTAGCCATCCTACTTGCCCTACTTCGGCCTTTTCAGCAGTGCTGGTCACATCATCATCAAATGGAACTAGAGGCAGCCAGGGGTATACGTTTTGGCACTTCCAGCTCAGCCAGGACCCTAGAAGATCCAGAGTTGGTATCCATGGTGAAAAGAACTTTCTCTAGAATTGGCATTAATGAGGTAAATAAATTAATATCCACCAACAGTTTCTCCATTTTTAAAAGTGCTAAAAAGATGAACAGCTTTGTAACAACAGACTGGCCTTTGAATTTTAGAATACTGTTGTCTTCCTAATTGAGCTGTCCACCTTGCCCCCTTAGTCTAATAAATGCATGGAGAAGGTACATGTACAACACGTAGTACTTGTCACTATTTAACACCATAATCACATGGAATAAACATCCAAGGAAATAGGTCAAAAGCCATCATATGAACCACCTAATTTGATGCTTGGGCTAAGGCTAAAATCTTGACAGGGAAGATCTAAAGTGCTGAAATGCAGAGCTAACATTCAGGCTGGCTGGTCCGCTTATACCAGAGAGAGATTCAAGTGGATCTGGGAGGGCGGTGATCCAGCAATCCAGAGACCAAAATCTAAGAATCCTAAGGAATGTAACCATTGTAGCCGGGTTTACAACAAACTACCAGAGTCTCAGTGATGGAAAGGTTCATACAAGATCCTGGTCACTTCACCTGGCCTTGCAAAAGCCATCTTTTTAAAGTTTAACCATCACTATTCAAAGGAAATTGGTATCACTGAGTTCCAGGAATATACATACTAGTTTCCTTAAAGTCAGGGCCAAATGATGACACATTCTTGGAAAGGCCCGTGTGTTCCAATAGAAAAGCAGGATCCAACCATTTGTATCTAGGTAGTCATTTTTCTAGGCAGAAAATCTAACATTCAGTAACTAAACCAAATCCCAGAACCTCAGCACCAAAAGGACCTTAGACATCATTTCACGCAGGCTCGTTTTACAGATGAGAAAGCTGAAGCCCACAGAGGCCCTCGTTTTATCCCAAGTTGCACACGTTGGGTCCAGGTCTCTGATTCCTAGGCCAGAATTCTTTCAGCTACACAGGCCTGGAATCCCGTGTTTTAGGTTGAGAAAAATCATACACTTCTAGGACCCTGTATGATTCTATTGAGAACCAGGGCTAAGGCTTTATGGGTTTGGGAAAACTTAAGTTTCTATTGCAAGATTCAACCAATGAATCCCAGAGGTGCTCTGAAGTCTGGGCTTCAAAATTTGATCAGGAAGCGCTGCTGATGTCTCTCGATGCTTGCATGATTCACTTAAGATGCTTTCCAAACCCAGTAATAGAAACTGGTGCCCAGACTTCAAATGTGAAGTTTCCTGGTGACCAACAGAGGTCTGTGGTTAGGTAGGCTTCACGTAAAAGACAAACTCCCAAAGCCTCACATTAGGCCACCTTGCAGGTTTAGCCCAAGTGTTTCCTAAGAGCCGTGCTGACTGGCCAATCAGGCGGTTTTCTCCTGGGAAGTGGGACCAAAGTGACTTTGGTCATGATTTTTCTTTTTTCCAAGATGCATAAAAACCAGATTAAGAAACAAACAAAACAGATACAGCTTCCAGATCAGTAGTTGCGAAGTGGGATTCCAAATGTTTGGGAACCACTTGGGACATTTTCTGTGTCTTCCATGGAGTAAATTCAAGTTACCCAGATGGACTAACTCTCAAATTTCTAGGGCTGTTCCTCCATGCTGCAGTTTCATTACAAGGCACAAGACCAAATCCTTGGCACCTTAAGTTCTCCTTGTGCCTCTCCAAAGAAAAAAAAGGATTTATAGATGGTGACACAGAGGACTGCCTAATAACAGGAGTATAGCTGTGATTTCACACCTCGCATGGAGTCATCACACTGCGCGTCTGAAGTCAGTCCCTCAGGCAGCAGCGCCTGGCCCAGGGTGCTGTCGCAGGCAGGGGCCACTTGGCAGAACTCTTTGACAAAGTCGTCCTCCGAGGCCAGCAGCACTGCGTTCCAGGTGGCAGTGTCCAGCTCTCCCGCCGTGCCCCCATACTCCTTGGGGAGAATGCTTCTTGGAAGGTTTGTGTGGAGAGAGTTCAAGTCAGACCCGTGGAGGAAGAACTAAAGGGGAATGAAATGAAAACACACATGTCCTTAGGTTAATCAGGAATGCAGAAATCTCCTTCACGGTGGGTGCTCAGGTATCTATTGAACGAAGAAAGGAAAGGTTCATGGCAACTCTACCCTCAGCCCAGAAAGCTTGGAGTATCCTTAATTCTCTTTTCCTTATACCACATGTCCTGTTGGCTGGACCTGTGAGATATATCTGAGATCCAACCACTTGGTGGCCACCCTAATGGTCCCATGCTGCCATCGCTTCTCACCTGGATTCCCTCAGCAGCCTGCTACTTGGTCTCCCTGCTCCCAGTCTTGGCCTTCTGCAATCTAAGCTCCTTTCAGTGTGAGTGAGATCATGTCATTCCTCTATTTACAACCTTCCAGCGCTCCCACCTCACAGACTAAAAGCCAAAGCCCACATGATGGCCCACAAGGCCTGTCACAACCTGCCCCCTCACTTCTCTGACTCCTCCTCCAACCAATTCTCCCCTCCACTCTCTTGGCACCAGCTGCACCAGCCTCCTAGCTGCTCTGCTGGCATGCCGGGCATGTTCCCACCTCAGCGTTGGCTCGTTGCTGGTCTCCCAGGTACCTGTGTGGCTCACTCCCTCTCAAGTCTTTGCTCAAATGTCCACTTCTCAATGCCACCACCCTATTGGATACTGCAACCCTTCCCCACCTCTCACACGCACTATCCTTTTTCTCTGCTTTATTTTGCCCCATAGCTCTTATCACATCCTAATACTAGATAACACACATGATTCATTGTATCTCTCTCTAGAATGTAAGCTTCCTAGGGGCAGGGATTTGGGTCTGTTTTGTTCATCAAGAACATACTTGCACATAGTAGTTGATCAATAAATATTCTTGAATGAATGAATGAACATTCAAAGTAGTAAATGAACAACACCATGGGCTATCAATAGGGCATTTCACATATATAAAAGACCCATCCAAGCCGGGCGTGGTGGCTCACGCCTGTAATCCTAGCACTCTGGGAGGCTGAGGCGGGCGGATTGCTCGAGGTCAGGAGTTCGAAACCAGCCTGAGCAAGAGCGAGACCCTGTCTCTACTATAAATAGAAATTAATTGGCCAACTAATAAATATATAAAATTAGCCGGGCATGGTGGCGCATGCCTGTAGTCCCAGCTACTCGGGAGGCTGAGGCAGCAGGATTGCTTGAGCCCAGGAGTTTGAGGTTGCTGTGAGCTAGGCTGACACCACGGCACTCACTCTAGCCTGGGCAACAAGCGAGACTCTGTCTCAAAAAAAAATAAAAATAAAAAAAAATAAAAGACCCATCCAAAGGTTACTTTGGTAAAAGTTCCAAACAGGATCTTTAGGAACCAACATGGGTTCACTCCCAAGCAGGGAGGCCACTAAATTAATTGTTTGCAAACCTAGATATGCATCAGAATTACCTAAGGAGATTTTAAAAGCACAGGTCAATGGGCTCTGCCCTTGAGCTGATGAATCAAAATCCACAGGGAAAGGGCCTGGAAATCCACATCTGAGTTTAAGTTCTCTCCCTTGCGACCTTGAGATTCTCTGTCTCTATATGCTTCCTCTTTGAAAAGGCATATAAAATTTAGGGCCCAGTCTTTGGAGTGACCTTCCTAGGCCTAGGGAAGAAAGAGAAAAATACTCCCAATCCCATTTGAATCAGTGGTACTGGGAAAGGTTCAGAGAGGTGGCTCTCCTGGGTCAGAAAGGAAGACTGTCTTTTTTTTGTTTTGTTTTGTTTTGTTTTGTTTTATGAGAAAGAGTCTCACTCTGTTGCCTAGGCTAGAGTGCCGTGGCATCAGCTTAGCTCACAGCAACCTCAAACTCCTGGGCTCAAGGCATCCTCTTGCCTCAGCCTCCCGAATAGCTGGGACCACAGGCCCGCATGACCATGCCTGGCTAATTTCTTCTATTTTTTAGTAGAGACAGGGTCTCACTCTTGCTCACACTGGTCTCTAACTCCTGAATTCAAGCAATCCTCTCGCCTCGGCCTTCCAGAGTGCTAGGACTAAAGGTGTGAGCCACTGTGCCCAGCCAAGACTGTCTAAATGTTAAAGTGTCATCAATCCCTTTTCAAATAAGAAGCTAAACACACATCTTTTAAATCTTGAATTCCCTGCAAACTTTACACAGTGAGACAACATATTAGGTAAATAGAAAGTCTTAAATAGCAATTTTAAATCCCAAGATTCTATAGTAAGAAATGACCATAGCTCTTTTAAACTATCTGCCCTGTGACTATCTTTCACTCTTCCTCTTTTCTATGTCCTCTTACACATAAAATGCAACGTTGGTTCCCAATGCTCAAGCTAGGATACCAAAAAGTCTAAAGGATACACAACTTATGACAAAAATCCTGGCTCTGCTCTCTCTACTGGCAAATATTACATTCTTACTAATTTCATGGTCCCCTCACAAAAGGATTGTTCATTGATTTTATCTGTAACCCTTTACTTCTTTCCAAATTACTAGTCCCAGGGCAAAAACAACAAACTAAGTACTAGATGTCACAAATAAATCAAGGGAGAAAAATATATTAAAGTCTCTGAAGTCAATAGGAACATCACTTACTCTGTTTGCTATTTTCTCCTTCAGAAATGGTTTTATGATGGCAAAAATGCCTTTAAATATTCGAGGTTCATTCACTATATGGACTGCTTTTATCCGAATGGGGAAACCGTCCTGTGGGGGGAAAGCAAAGAGGTGTTAGAACATTGGGAGGACCTTTCTACACCTGCCACCCCCAGTTAAATCTTCATTTTAAGCCCCAACATCAGTCTGGCCTGACCCTCATGGCCTCCTAGTAGACTAAATATAATCAAATGGGTTTTCTTAACTCCAGCCACGTTCAGCGGCTTTAATATGTAAGGGGTATATGTTGAAATTCACAAAAAAGGGACAGCATTTACCAAACATACTAACCCTGGAAATATTTTCCCCTCTAGATGCTCTTACAGTACTAGGAAAACACTGATCCAAACTCTGTACCCTGAAACTTGAATCGACATGGAATTCAGCAAAAGGCATCAGAAAAGTGCAAGCTAAGGAAAGCCAGAGCACTGGCTCAAGGCCAGATTTTGAATTTATGATAATGTCTAAATGCAGCATTGATTTGTTTAAATAATAAGCCTTGTACGTGGCAGGGGCTCAGACACTCACAGAATTTGTGGAATTCATTGAGAAGATCTGTTATAATCACTGGTGCCCCATAGTTCCCAAGAGACAGCACCCCATGTGGTGGGTCAGAATGAACAAGGAACCAACAACACCTGTACAGCTGTGAGACTGTGGTGAGGCTGTGTCTTCTCTAGGCCTCAGTTTCCCCATCTATCAAAAAGGAAAAGTAATTCTTGCCTTGCCTATCTCACAGGATTCCTTAAAGGACTAAATGGGTTCTAATGACATTAAAAGCAAATTGTCAAACACTATGCAGATATGGAAGGAACTTCATGGTCCCCTGTGACTTGTGTTCTGAAATGCACACAGCACATGAGGTGTGAAGCATCTGACCAAAATGCAGTCCAACAGAACTCCACGTCCCCAGGTCCACAGAGGATGGGGGGTAGGGAGTGGGGAGGAGAGGGGCTCCAACACTCGGGCAGAAGCACAGTTTCTCAGTTTTGTTTGTTAGGAAAATTCCTCCTCTGCTTTCTAGACCAAAAAGAAAAAAATAGAAAGCATTTCCCTGGGTTTTTGGACTCTTGCCCTAATACTGACCTTGTCCAGATTGAAAGTACTAGAGACCCTGATGAGAATGGGTGATAAATAGGACTGTTAAATTTCTTCCCCTGCTGCTCTTGTATCTTTCTGACTGCGGGAGTGGGATGTAGCTTTGCATGTCACGTGGGACCTGCAGTGAATGGACAGGGCCCCAGGGAGCCCAAAGCAACCGCAGAACAGGCACACGACAAGAAGGGGCCATACCTGGAGGATGCCAATCACCTTTTTGGCTATAAAAGGGCCAAAATGAGATGCTTTTGATAAGCTCACTCCTTTGTAGTCCGCAAGAATTACAATTCCATTCACCTGGGTTTCTTCAGACTGAATGAGTTTTTCTAATGTCAAGTATATGGCTCGGATGTTTTCGGTAATTGGGTAGTTGCTCGGTATCCATCTGTCTAAGGTCATGAGAGATGGACAGTATGTTACAGAGGTGAATATAAATAAGTGATCAGACAAAGATTTATCTCCTTTCTAAAACTGCTGTTTCAAAATGGAAAAAAAAGATATTCAAATGGCTGTGATTCCATTTAGGTTAGTAAATGGGACACTTTAAGCAGCAGCCGATGTTTCTTGACTCTAAGCATAGCAGCACATTCTGAAATGGAAATGCAATTGAACGCTGAGGTTACAAGCATGAGCTCTGAAGTCAGACACACCTGGGGCTTTGAAGCTTACTGGCTGTGCACCCTTGGCCAAGTTCTTCACTATGCACAAGTAGAATAGGATAGAATTGGCTAATTATACCTACCTCCATGAACATCTATGCTTCCTGCTATTAGATATTTCCCCTTATCTTTGTAACACCACCCTGGGTTTCCTTGAGGAACCACCTCCTCCCACTCTAGCCATGCAATTTGGATAGAACTGACTTGACTCCTGACTCTAGCGGTGGGCAAGTGATTGGGAACTGATTGGCCAATCTGGTATTACGTTTCCCTGGCCACAGTGTGTGATCCAAGCCAGGCCAAGCTGAGCCAGGGAGACTCACTTCTGGGACCTTGGCCCTTTGGAAAAAGATCTTTCTTCCCTCTTGTAGTGGCGAGGCTGTGAGCCTGAGATTCAGGGGCCCCATGAGACAAGAGCTGGTCTGAGAATGAAGCCCATGCTAAGGACAGCCGCAGTGGAGAGTTTTCCAATGCTGGAGTTTGAGCCCCTGAGTCCAGCTGTGCTCAGACTTCAGTTATCTGAGCAAATGAGATCTCCTTTTTTGTTTCATCCAACCTGAGTTGACTTTCTGTCACATGTCACCCTAAGAGAGTCCTAACTCATACACCACCTTTGGGGGGGGGTGGATTATTGTGAGTATGGAGAATAAGCTGTGAGGATACCCCTCACCAAACCCCCCTTTCCAGCATGGACATTCCTTTAATACCCCCATATGTTTAATGATTTTTTCCTCTCTTTGGAAATAAGATGAAAATGATGATTTTTGAGTAACTGCTATTCTTAAGAAAATCCTACCAAGTCCTGTATGCCACTTTCTTAAAAAGGTAAAATTTCACATTTGCCACCAATGGGATCTATAATATGTGTAAAATTCTTATGAAAAATCTTTGTCCAAAAATCTTTGTCCAAACCTTTGTCCAAAATTATGCTATCTTGCTGTTGCTCATTAAACTGGCCCCTTCATAACTGTATATCATCCCTCTCAACCACATATGTCTCAAAAGAGCTCTAAAAAAGGCATCCTTTGAGCTGGAGCTCAAGGTAAAAAAAAGAAAATAACAAAAATGTAAAAAAATTTTTTTAACTTAAGAAATTAACTGCTTTAAAAAAAATTTTTTTTAAATAAGACTTTTGAGAACAAAAGTGAATGCCACCTCCTAAAAAACTGAGTCAGTGGGGAAGGGTTCAGATCTGCTCCAGACAAACAGGGAAAAAGTTCATCTCATGAGCAAAGGGTTGAAACCATACAAGCAAAGGTGCAACCGGTGTGGTAATATCTAACTGTTTTGTAATATTCTTAGGGGTTGAGTATAGGGTTGCAGCAGAAAAACCCGTTAACTGGTTTCTAGATCTCTCGGTGCCCTGAAATCTGCACTGCATTGCTTATTTTAAAATAAACACTCCTAATTTTGGAAAGTGCCCAAAACAGCAGGTGAGCTGTTCACACAATGCCTGCTACATAGAATAGGCTGGAGAACGGTTTAGTCTCCAAAGGGAGTTTGGTGAATGACTAAAGGCAGAGGGAAGTATGTGGAGGTGTCCACTGCCCATCAGACTTGCCTTCAAGAGGAGTTTGTATTCACGAGCAAAAGAGGGCTGTCAGTGTGTTCTCCATCCCTGGCCTGGTTGGGAAAAACATCGTATCTTACTTTCAATTTTTTTCCTCAGCTCTGGTTTGATAGAAAATGTTGACGTTGGGGGTGGAGTGGAGAACACTCCCAAGTTTCTAATGCATTTGGTGTCATGGAAGAGAACATGATTAAGAATCAGAAGTCGTGGCCGGGTGAGGTGGCTCACGCCTGTAATCCTAGCACTCTGGGAGGCCGAGGTGGGCGGATTGCTCGAGGTCAGGAGTTCGAAACCAGCCTGAGCAAGAGTGAGACCCCGTCTCTACTATAAATAGAAAGAAATTAATTAGCCAACTAATATACATAGAAAAAATTAGCCGGGCATGGTGGTGCATGCCTGTAGTCGGGAGGCTGAGGCAGAAGGATTGCTTGAGCCCAGGAGTTTAAAGTTGCTGTGAACTAGGCTGACACCACAGCACTCACTCTAGCCTGGGCAACAAAGTGAGACTCTGTCTCAAAAAAAAAAAAAAAAAAAAAAAAAAAAAATCAGAAGTCTCAAGTTCTAGTACCCTCTAGTCATGTCTAAATGCTCTTTGCTGGGAGGTGGCAAGGAGCTCCCCCCCAATTGCAAACTACCAAGCTAAAGAAATGTAAGGTATCCTGATTACTATCATGCAGTGCTAAGATCAAAAAATCAATCTGAAGTGAATCTTGTCAGTGGCTTAATAAAGTGGAGGAAAGAAAGGAAAGGCTGCAGGAAGAGTAGGTAACTTATCAGGTGTCGGCCAGGCCCACACCCTTTCAATGATTCCTGTACCCCGGCCTACTCACAAAGAAGGTCAGGCAGGGTCCTGGCAGCCATGCTGTGTCCTATGGCCAGGGGCAGATTCCTCAGCTCACCAGATGGTCTCCCCTGGAAATGTGGACTCTGCACTGAGGAACTGAATGGAGTAGTCAGGCAAACCCGAGAGCTGCCAGATTTAGCTATGTGCACAGAGGCAGCCAGAGCCAGAAAAAAATGTAAAGAAGATATGCAAAAGGCCACAGAAATGTGTGGTCCCAAGGACACACAGACGTTCGAGGCAAAGGCAGGGAGAATGGCTGTCAGCTCCTGGTGGCATGCTGGTTCTTGGTTCTGGGGCCTAGGAGAGCTGCTGCACTCTCAGCCCTCTGGTTCTAGGAGATACTCCAGTCTCCTCACTTTTTTCTTAAGTTGGTTTGAGTAGGTTTTTGTCTCTGCAATCAGAAGATCTTGACTACCAGGAGGGGTACAAAAGGGACTGGGAAAGGAAGGTGGAGCTGGAGAGACACACCCCAGGGAGGCTGTACACGTGCCCACACGGTCTAGGAGAATACCTGGGCGGAGGCAGAGGACGTGGCAGCCCCTGGGGTCGGTGTGAGGCAGCACGGTGAGGAACCCGGAAGCGAGGACATCTTTTAAGGCCGACGGCTTCAGGTTATCGAAGACTTCGGGCCAGCTTCTCCGGCAGCTGTGGTAGTTGACCAGGAGCTGCAGCGCGCGGTCGTAATCAAACTTGCGGGCTCGGAGGAAGCGCAGCAGGAAGGCGTCGTCGAGGGACGTGCTGAGGTTCGGGTAGTCCTTCCGCACCATGTCACGAAGGGCCTGCACGTCCCGAAGTCTCCATTCTGGCTTCTCCTGCAGCTCCTCCCGGGCTTTGGTGACCAGTTCTTCTGTCAGCGAGCACACGTAGCCGGGAGGCTCAGGGGGTGGCGACAGCTCATTTTCAGAGAGTGAGGCCACAGAAGGGCTGGTTCTCAGAGAATCGCTTTCTTTTGACATGAGCTACCAGGATCCCTGCCAACACAGAAGCCCCAAGCGAAATTAATAAAGCTTAGCAGCGTGCATCTCAACCCCCAGGGGCAGCACGACCTAGGGGACAGGAACATTTTTGTCAAAGCCAAGTAACATCAGAGCAGTGTTTCTCAAATTGGGGAATGAACTGGATCTGGACCATATGCATAAACGATGGGTCCGACCCCAGACTGATGGCACTTAAAGTCTGGGGAGAGACACCCGGCAGCTATGGCACGACACACACACTCCTCGGTAAACACACCGCCTTGCTTACAAATGCAGGAATAGGCGCTTGACCTCATCCGTCATGAAATAAATGTCAATTAAAACAACTCTGAGATTGAGACTGGCAAAAATGAAAAACGTATTCTGATATGCTTGCTGCTGGTGGGAGTATATGGTGACACAGCCTCTTTGGAGGGCAGTTTGCCAATATCTATCAGCATGCCATTTCTAGGACATACGCTTGTATATATGTGCAAAGTACAAGTATTGATTATAATGATAAAAGATTAGAAACACCTTAAGTGCACATCAGGAGGAGACTGGTTAAATAATGGGGTGCAATCCAGTCATGAAAAGGAATCTGGCAGATCTTTATGAACTGACATGTTAAGAAAAAAGAAAGCAAGTTGGAGAACTGTGTGCAGAAAATAATCACATTTGTTTTTAAAATATATATACACTTGTGAATACACAGGAAATTTCTGGAAGGAGATATAAGAAACTGTTACCAATGGTTACCTCTAGGGAACAAAACATTTAAAATGAGAAAGGCCGGGTGTGTGGTGGCTCACGCCTGTAAATCCCAGCACTTGGGGAGGCTGAGGCGGGAGGATCACTTGAGCCCAGGAGTTAGAGACCAGTCTTGGCAATGTACTGAGACCTTGTCTCTACAAAAAATTTTAAAAATTAGCCGGATGTGGTGGCGCATCTGTAGTCTCAGCTGCCCAGTAGGCTGAGACAGATAGCTTAAACACAGGAGTTCAAGGTTGCAGTGAGCTATGATTGCACCACTGCACTTCAGCCTGGGCAAGAGTAAGACCCTGTCTTTAAAAGGAAAATCAAAGTAAAATGAGAAAGAGACATTTTACTATACTGCTTGAATTTTTTACCATGCACCCACATAACTTAACATGGTGGCCATGTAAATGCACTGGTCAGACCTCCTGCTAGGAAAACAGAATTGACAAATGGCCCCAACCACTTTCCCTCTGGATCTACTTCCAGAGGATGCCATACTTTCCATGGATCACTCTGGCCAATGCATGGGTGTGACATGGGACTTGGGCTCTAACGGGCGTCCTGGGCTTGAGGACTCCCTGTTGGCTTGGCCAGACCCTTCTGGGGACTGCACTATAGTCAGAGACATTGTTCCTTTCCAAACCTCCTTCACAGGGCCAGACCGGCATCATGGCCCAAAGCTCTTCCTGACTTCCCCAGCTCCTTGCCCCTTTATCCTTCACAGGTGATGCCTCTAAATTTCTTGCATGCCTAATCTCACACAGTGTCTGCTTCTCAGAGGACCTGAACTAACACACTTACTGAATGGAAAACAAAAACAAAGCAGCTGCCTTAGATATTTCAGGAATAAGGTAGCAGCAGAACTGCCCAGTTCCAAACCCCAAGTCTTTTATATATATATATATAAGACAGGGTCTTGCTCTGGGCTAGAGTGTAGTGACTTCATCACAGCTCACAGCAACCTCAAACTCCTGGGCTCAATCAATCCTCCTGCCTCAGCTACCCCAGTAGCTGGGACTACAGGCTTTTGTCGATGGGCTGTTGCTGGCCCTCCACTGCAAGCTCAACAGGGAAAGCAAGGACTGTCTCAGGGTCCCTGCGCATACCTTTGATGTCCTGACTGTACCTAGTTGCACTCCTGCCCTTTCCACGAGCAACCAGGTCATGCCTTCTCAATGTTAGGTCTGCCCTCTCTGTTCCTTGCATTCCAACTTCCAGCTCTACCCAGATTTTTCTGCTTCCCCCCAAAGGTGTGTTCTCTTGTCCTGTGCACATCCTGTTTCCTCCGGCTAGCATGCTCACTCTAGATTTTACCTGACCAACACTGATTCACCCTTAAGTCCTGATTAAATGCCACTTCATTCATTTAGCAGACATTGAGCACTTGCAGGGGTCCTCAAACTTTTTAAAGAGGGGGCCAGTTCACTGTCCCTCAGACAGTTGGAGGGCTGCTGGAGAGCACGGCACACATCCCACACATGTGCACTGTGGGCCCGGGACAAGTCGGCTAAGCAGGATAGGCAGCAGCGGCAAAAACACCCGGCGGGCTGAATAAATGTCCTTGGTGGGCCGCCTGTGGCCTGAAGGCTGTAGTTTAAGGACTCCTGACTTATAGTGTACCAGGCTCTCTTCCAGGTACAAGGGATATGGAAGTGAACAAAAAGTCCAGTCCTTATTGAGCTTAGAGTCTAGTGAGAGAGATACAATAAGCAAAATAAACTATGTACTGTTTCCCCCAAAAATAAGACAGAGTCTTATATTTATTTTTCCTCAAGAAGACATCCTAGGGCTTATTCTCAGGGGATGTGTTATTTTTTTAAGTACGGTATAACAATCTACATTTATTCAAATATAGTTAAGTCGTCTTCTTCTGGAACATCATCATAACTCTCCAAATCGCGAATTCCATCCTGAATTTCTTGTGACTCTATTTCCTTTAGAACCATTGGCCCCAGTCTCTCATGCCGAGCAATAGAGCTCTCATGGGGCAGATGAGAAGGGCTGCTCGTCTTCTTTACTGCTCAACAACAAAATGCATGGATTGTGCAAATCCGCTGCGTAGCCACGCCCATAACTAGGTCTGATTTTCAGGGTAGGGCTTCTATTGCGCAAATGCTTAGAAATCCTGCCAGGGCTTATATTATGGGTAGGTCTTATTTTCGGGGAAACACAGTAGTCTACTAAAAGGTGGTAAATACCATGGAGAGAAACAGAGCAAGGAAAGGGGCTGGATGTACTCAGGGATAGGGGCTGCAATTTTAAATTAGGTGGTCAGGGAAGGCCTCACGCAGGTGACAGCTGGGCAAAGATGAAGGAAGAGAAGGAGTAAACCATGTATATCTGGGGGAAGAAGAAGTGCACAGCCTGAGGCAGGAACATGGCTGGCTTTTTAGGGGAACAGCAAGAAGGCCAGTGTGGCTTGAGCCAAGTGAGCAAGGTAAAAAATACTAGCAGATGATTTCAGAGACTTACTGGGAAGCCCAAAGGCCAGGGCTTTATGGGCAAGTATTCTGACTGTTACTCTGTGTGAGGTAGGCATGGAGAGTTTTGGGAAGAGTGACATGATCCTGATTTGCATTCTAAAAAGATCACTGCTGTCCTGAGAATGGACTGTAAGGGGGCAAGGACTGGGGCAAAGACACCATTTAGCAGCTACTGCAATAATCCTGGTGAGGGATGACAGTGGCTTGAAGCAGGCAGCCTTTGCTGACAAGCCAGGTTAGGTGGCCCCCACACCAGAGCTCTTTGGCATAGCACTTCTCCCATGCAGTTGTAATTGTCTGTAGGCAATTTATGAGCAACACTCCTGACTGTCTGGTTCATCACCTTAAGCTCAGCACCTAACATGGTGTTAGATACAAGGGCTGCACTCCAAAAATATCTGTTGAATGAGTTCAACCTACTTGGCAGAGGTATGCCGAGTGAGGAATGGAAGTCTCCAAGAGATGCATGCAATCTCTATCTAGTGTTTACCTGGGAGATAAACTGCAATGTCCACGTTCAGGCCTCACCTGAACACCCCTCTTCAGCCTCATTTCCCACCTTGATGCACCTTAAATGCCAGCCAAAACAAACAAGTGGCCCAGCATTATCAGAACACCTCGTGCACTTCTGATAGTTCCTCTCCTTGTTTGTTCCTAAGCAGACAACTCATCACCTTCAAGCTGCAATGTCACCTCCTCTGTGAAGCCTTCCCTGCCCCCCACCCAAGGTGATTATCTCCAGTTTTCTACAGCACTGGGCTCCTGTTTCTTCTTTAGAAATTGCAGTCCAGTGCTATGAAACTCCTCGGAGCCAGTTTCACCATCTATTCATTTATCAAGTAATTACTGATCCCCACCCTATGTGTCAGGCGTTGTGCTCACAGGCACTGGGCACCCAGCAGCATCCAATCTTATTCTTTGCCTTATGAAGCTTATATTATAGAGGAATGATGAAAAGAGATAATATGTACTTGAGTGTTTTGCCATGTATCAAGCACAGTGCTAAGCCCCATACACCGTTTTCTCATGTAATCTTCACAATATTTGGCGACAGCTCTATTACTGTTCTCACTTTACAAAGGAGCTAACTGTCCCCTAGAATGCAAAGTCCACGAAGGCAGAGAACTTGCCTGCCATGTTCACTGCTAGCCCCAGTGCCTGGCACATGGCAGTGCTCTGTAAATCCCAGAAGACAGGTTAAGCGACGCACCCAAGGGTACACACCTAGTGAGGCAGAGCAAGGATGTCTCTAACCCCAACCTGGGCTCAGAATCTCTACCCCCCACCTGGAGCTTCATGTTTAATCCCCAGGGCTCAGTCACAGTCTGGTGAGCGAGCTGAGAGGTGGGGATTTAGACGGGATGCAAACATCATTTGTTAGGGTGAAGCTGGGCGTCTTCCCTACCTACAGCCCATCATTTTGCGGAGCACCCCCTTCCTCCCCCCCCCCAACAAGGACAGGTCAGGCAGCCATCTCTCCTGGAACCCCAGAGACCCCCAGAGCCCGCTGACAAGCTTCCCAGATCCCCACTTCCGGCTGTCACCCCCTCCCCAAGTGTCCCCATTTCCTGGGGTCTCGTTCCTCTGGGCCCCACTTCCGGTTATCCCTCCCTCTCAGGGGCCCTCTCCTCGGTCCCCAGGGCACACGGACGGGCTCGCGGGCACTCACCGGCCCGGCTACGGGGCGGAGCGCGGGTCAATCGGCGGCTGGAGCCTCCTCCGGCAGCGCGCACAGAACCGACCCGCACTCCCGGCCCGGCCAGGCCCGGCCCCTCGCGCCGGAAGTGACGTGTCCAGGGCGTGGGAAGGCGGGGCGCCGCCTGGGAGCGCGCATGTGCGACACCTCCCCGCAAAGCAGGCGTTCTGTCCCCACCTGGCGGCCGGACTCTGAGCTGTGGGGCCCGGTCTGGATGGAGAGCGCTAGGAGTTTGTCAAGCAGGGTTTATAGATGGGGAAACTGAGGCCCAGAGAAGGAAGGAAAGAAGCTGCCATTTTCTAAGAATACATTGTGAACTGAAATAATATCTTAAGGCTTCTCCTCACCAGCTGACTGAGTGAACCCCCTCCTGGCCAAAGGGGTACCCTAAAAGTGAATTGCCTGCCATGAGGAGGGAGGTCAGACATGCCTCTTCATGACCCCCCACCCTTCTTGTAAACATCCTTTGTAACTCACTAAAGGGCTAAGGCTTTGCTAGACAAACCTGCAGGGCCTCAGTTTACACAACAAATATATGGCCAGTAGCTTGTCTCTGATTAACAGACTGCCCACCTTTTCTGGTCAAACCAATGTATGCCTTCTATGTATTAATTTATGACTTTACCTGTAATCCCTGTTTCCTTGAAATGTATAAAACCAAACTGTAACCCAACCACAGGTAGTCCACTTGCTCAAGGTTTCTTGGGTCCTCAAATTTGGCTCAGAATAAACCTCTTTAAATTATTTCACAGAGTTTGGCTTCTTTTCTGTTGACAACACTAACATGTACCTGGTGTTTTACATCTATTATCTCATTAAATCCTTACATTTATACAATTCTGCTATGTCATGAAAGGGAAACTGGCAATCAGCGAGGTAAAGGGCTTCAAACCCAGCCCTCAGGATCAGCATTCCGGAATCCCTCCCACCGCAGCTGCTCTGGGACTGGTTGCTCCAAAGGCAGAGATTCCAAACCAGGCGACATGGCAATCTCTGCCAGATGCTAGATTGTATGTGTGTGGGGGGGGAATGAAAGGACGCAGCACGGGGGTGGCCAGGGAGTCATGAGTTCTGACTCCTGCTCTATTTCCATCATTTCTAGGGTTGCCAGATAAAATACAGAACACTCAGTTAAATTTTGAATTTCAGATAGACAACAATTTCATTGTAAGTATGTCTTATGCAACATTTGAGACAGACTTATACTTCAAAAATTGTTTATCAGAAATTCAAATCTAACTGGGGATCCTGGTTGTCGTTCTGTAATGTTTTGTTTTTGCTAAATCTATGTGTTTAGTTCCTTATTGCTGTTATAACAAATGACTACAAACTTAGTGTGTTGAAACAACACAAATTTTTTGCTTACAGTTCTGTAGGTAAGAAGGCTGAAATCAAGGTGTTGGCAAGGCTGCATTCTCTCTGGGGACTTCAGGGGTGTATCTGTTTCCTTGCCTTTTTCAGCTTGCAGAGGCCACCTGCATTTCTTGGCTCGTGGCCCCTTCCTCAAATCACTTCAACCACTTGCTTCTGTCATCACACCTACTCCTGACTCTAGTCCTCCTGCCACCCCTTCTTGTGAGGACTCTTGGCCCATCCAGATCATCCATGACAATCCTCCCACCTCAAGGCCCTTCAATCAATCACATCTATGAAATCCCTTTTACCTGGTAAGGTAAGATATTCACAGGTTTCAGACATTAGCATGAGAACATCTTGTGTGTGTGTGTGGGGGGGCAGGGGACATTATTTATCCTATCAAAATCTGGCAACCCTAATCCCAGCTGTGTAACCTTGGCCAAGTTACTCAAACCCCTAAAGGTTCTAGTTTCTCATGGGCAAAAAGCGGATTAAATGATCTCACAAGAGGAAACATCTTTCCTTATGCCAGGCAAACAATAAATGCTTAATAAATGGCAGCTCTTGTGGCAAAAGGTGAGGGATACCCCTGTCCAAACCACACTTTCTTTGGTGTTGCGATAAGCTTGTCTCCTCAACCCAACCCAGGATCTACTGGCGGTATATGGAGCCTAGACTACAAGCCTGGACGCTGGCAGCAGGAGGAGAAGAACTTGGTCTCAAGGGCAGGGCAGGGCTGGGAAGGGTTTCAAAGATGACTCCGAAGTCTCTTCCACATCCCTCAATTGAGGGCCACTATTTCTTGTTCCTCCTGAACAAGGAGGTTACATTTTAGAGAACTAAGTTATCTCAGGATTAGAAGGTCTCAGATAAACAGCAATGACTGAAAGAATTTCCACTTTTTGAGCAATAACATATGCCAGGTACCATGCTTGTACGATCTCAATTGTGCCTTACAACAGCCCTATGAACAGCAAGCTGGGATCGTCCCATTTGCAAAAGAGAAAACTAAAATCCAGAAAGAAAATGTTACTTGCCTAAGGGCTCAACATAGTCAATGGACGTGCTGGATTTGAGCTCACATCTGTGTGACCCCACCGTTCCCAATTTTACTTTGCCCTAAAGGTCATCCAGATCTATATTTTTGTGTTTACAAGTTGGGAAACAGGCTCAGAGGACAAGCAATTGCCCATAGTCGCATAATGACTAAGTGGTTGAGTGGGGACTTGAACTTCTGTCTTCTGCCTTGGACACTCAGAAGTGACAGTCTCTCAGTAAGCCCTTGAAAAGACACGTGTCCTTATGTATAAAATGTGCATGTGCCCCTTGTTTGTAGGGGGCCCTTGGGAGGATTCAGCAGAGTGGCATGTGCAGAGTCCTGGTACGTTGTATCATGAAATGTCTGATTATTGGTTATGATCACCCGCCTCTCACACAGAAAGATCAGCAGAGGGCAGCTTGCCCTGTGTCCTGGTTTGGAGTGTTCCAAACGCCCTGCTTTCCTAGCTTTATCCAGTCTCTGAAGACAGAAATCCTGACGTTGGGTGGGTATATGCTGGAGGAAGCTAGAAATGGCTGAGCTGACTCTGTTTCCAAGGCATGTGATTCTGAGCTCATACAGTCTCCTAGGACCAGCTTTAGTATTGATTTGAAGGTAAGGCTTATTTAGGATGGTACCTTGGTATAGGTAGGGCAGAGTTTTTCAATCTTTTTTTTTTTAGACAGAGTCTCACTTTGTTGCCCAGGCTAGAGTCAGTGCCATGGCATCAGCCTAGCTCACAGCAACCTCAACCTCCTGGGCTCATACAGTCTCCTAGGACCAGCTTTAATATTGATTTGAAGGTAAGGCTTATTTAGGATGGTACCTTGGTATAGGTAGGGCAGAGTTTTTCAATCTTTTTTTTTTTTTTTTAGACAGAGTCTCATCTGTTGCCCGGGCTAGAGT